ACCGTGACTAATTCGGAGGGGGAGGCCTTTGTGGGCGCTACGGCGAGGGGCGTCGTGGATCCGGTTGCCAAACCCATCTACCCTCTTCAGCCATCTTACTCTTGAGAGCGTCGACATATGATTGCTTCCCAGACCGAGATCCCCACACGTCCTTCACGAAACTGATGTTCACCAGTTGCATGTCGAATCAGTCGGATCTCTGGGCAGGGAAGCAATCCTGACGGGAAAACTTCTTCGAATCGAGCAAGTCCTTCTGAATCTAGAAGAGCTTCCTGGACGGATCAAAGCTGTTTTTGGTGGCTAGGATCCTAGGGTTGTGCGGTGGCGGCGGGGAGTCGATGGCCCATAGCTGGCCAAAGAAATCGATCACGGCTCGTCCTCTTCGAGGGCCCTCACGACGCTAACCCTATCCTTAGGGAGCGACCCTACCCGTGAGTCTCTGAGCAGTGGGGGCGCACCTTTGCCCTGTGCTGATGAGCGGTCCCTCCTAAAGGATGGGGTCGTGTGGTCAGCCTGGGAGGATACGGCCATGGCGGTGGGTCAGGGGCGCGGTCCTGTCGCGATGTGGAAGACAACATCCTTAAATGTTATTGACATCATTACAAAACAGCTTACTTTGTACTGCACAATCAAGATGCGTTATTGTTTTGAATAACCACAGATCAAATGCTCGTACATAGAATATTGAAATCAAGTATTATATTATGGAATATAAAACCCATGATCAAACTATAAGAGTTGAGCACATAATCACTAAGTTGATGCTCGCAGATCCATCTACTAAAAGTTTATGACATAACCTATTTATACAGCACACAATGCAGTGCAACGTGGATCCCATGTGCCAGTGAGAGAGAAGTAGGAAAGAGGATTGAGAAAAATTCTTCCTAATCCTATCTATTTGAGTAAGAGATGGGATATTTTGAGGGATCGAGAAAAAACTTTTTGAGAAAGAGGATGTGAAAGAGGATCAATTAGAGCCATTTTTTCTCAATTCTCTTTGTACAAGAATACAAGGAAAGATGATTTCTTTTTTTCAATCGGTGGATGAAAGCTCTAATTTGGTTTTAGTTAATTGATGAAACCCTAAGTGCTAACCTAGTTTATCAAATTGATTGTGAGATAGGTAGCACTACTCCAAGTGACGAAGAAATGGCGAAGATCATGACGATGGTGATGATCAAGTGCTTGAACTTAGAAAAGGAGAAAGAGAAAAACAAAAGGCTTAAGGCAAATGTATAAATAGTAGGAGCTATTTTGTTTTAGTGATCGAGACACTTAGCGAATGTAATCATATTTAGGGTCGATAGCCGTACTATTAAGAGGGGTGAAACTCATATTGAAATGCGGTTATCAAAGTGCCACTAGATGCTCTAACTCATTGCATATGCATTTAGGATCTAGTGGAATGCTAACATCCTTAAAATATTTGTGAAAATATGCTAACACATGTGCACAAGGTGATACACTTGGTGGTTGGCACATTTGATCAAGGGTGGTGAAGTTTAGGTGCAAGGATAAGAAACTCCATCGGCGCCCTAGACAGAAAAGACGGAGGTCACTGGAAGTGACCGGACGCTGGCCTTGAGTGGACCGGTGCGTCCGGTCAGGTGTAACGACGAAGACGCTGGCGTCGGTCAAACGACCGGACGCTGGGTCGCTCTGCGACCGGACGCTGGCCGGGTGCGTCCGGTCAATGTTGACGTACGCTGACGTGAGGCGTACAGAGAAACGTTGAGTGACCGGACTTAGGGTGTGTCCAGTCGTGAAAATTCACGTTTGGAACCTTACTGGAAACGACCAGACGATGAGGTCCAGCGTCCGGTCACTTTCTAACTAACGCGTCCGGTCATCTCTTGACCATTGAGATCGGGCGATCGACGTTTGAAGCCGATGACACGTGGCGAAGAACTGAGGACCGGACGCTGAGGATCCTGCGTCCAGTCAATATGACCGGAGCGTCCGGTCGGCCCTCGTTGTGCCCAGTGAAGGGGTACAACGGCTCTATTTCGTGGGGGCTTCTATTTAAGCCCCATGGCCGGCTCAAGCTCACGCTCTTAGCCATTTGCATTGACATAGCAACCTTGTGAGCTTAGCCAAAGCCCTCCCACTCATCTCCATCATTGATCCATCATCATTATGAGATTGGGAGAGAATCCAAGTGCATTGCTTGAGTGATTGCATCTAGAGGCACTTGGCATTCGTGTTTCGCTGCGGGATTCATTTGTTACTCTTGTTGGTTGCTGCCACCTAGACGGCTTGGAGCAGCGAGGATCGTTGAGCGAAGGTTGGTGATTGTCTCCGGCTCTGATCGTGGTGATTGTGAGGGGTCATGTGCCTTCCCTGGTGGAGCGCCGAAAGGTAACTCTAGTGGATTGCTCGTGTCATTGAGTTACCTCACTTGTGGGTAGGTTCTTGCGGTGTCCTATCGTGTGGATGAGGTTCGTGCAACACCTCTTAGCCGCCGAACCACCAAGTGTTGGTCGACACAACGGGGACTAACATGCCGGCAAGCACGTGAACCTTGGGAGAAAATTAGGTTGTCTCTTGCCCTTTGGAATTCTCCCGGTGATTGATTTAGTATTCATATTGTGATTGGTTCACTCCTCTACACGACGGTATAATCACCCTACTCACTCATTTATATTTTTGCAAACTAGCTGTGACAAGCTCTCTAGTGTAATTAGAATTGAGAGTTTGCTTTGTTAGTTTAAGTTCATCTAGTGGAGCTCTTTAGAGTAGCATATTTGAGAGCTCTTAGTGAGTAGTAACATTGCAAGTTGTGTGCCTAGTAATCATTGCAACTAGAATTGTTGGATAGGTGGCTTGCAACCCTTATAGAGCTAGAGCAAGTTTGCATTTCGCTATTTGTTATACCAATCAAATTGATCTAGTTGATTTGTAGTTTTTTAAATAGGCTATTCACCCCCCTCTAGCCATATTAGGACCTTTCAGTGGAGTTACCGTAAGATGCATTAACTCGAGGTGTGAGGATTACTATATACACTTACGGAAATACTAAAATAAAAACGCGCATCCTCTAGAGACACCGCCTGCACACAGCACACTCATTTTCAACCTTTCCTCTCTCGGCTCTCCCTCTCTCTCTCTCCGGGGAGCACCTCACTGGCGGCCTCCTCCCTGCACCCGCACCCGCACCCCACGGCTCCCCACGCTCTCGCCCGCGCCCCACGGCTCCTCGTGCCCGCACCCACGCCCCATCGCCTCCTCTGCGCATGGCCATGGCGGATGCAGCAAATCCAGCGGCAGCGGCGGCGGATCCGCCGGATCTAGCGACGGTAGCGGCGGGTCATCCACGCCAGGTAGGCCTTCTCCTCCTGGATATGATTTCTAGGGTTTCGACGAGCTCCTACTTATCTTCTCCAACTCCGGCGAGGTATAGAATGGCCGACCGGGCAAGGCAGGTAGGCCAGACGGTGCGGATGGTCGATGGGTGGTTTAGGGGAGTTGGCGGCGGTAGGGGCGATCGGGCTAGGTCGGGGCGGGGGAGTTCCGGCCATGGTGGTGGCGACGCCCATGGCGACAACCAAGGAGGGGGGAAGGAGGGGAAGAAGGTGGCGCTGCGACGGGGCGGCGCCGACAAGGGAGACAGAGTCGGGAAAAACGTGGCTGCTGTGTTTTTCTTTTCGACTACAAAATGGTGTGCGACGAGGTGTGCGTGCTGAAAGTCCAGATCACGCGCACGCTCTAGCAACGCCCATACACTTTAAACCTAGCATGTTGTGTCGAAAGCAACAAAGGCCTTTTGAAATGACTTGATCGTCCGAATCCATGAGGGCCCAATGTATAATGCCGTCATTTAGTAACAGAAATGCTAACGCACACCCGTGTGTTTTCAGAGCCGGTGACACACGATTTTTTACTGTGCCTCTGAGTGTAGGGCACACACCCGACTCCAACTGAAAACACCGAACGCGAGGCGACGCTCCTTCCTCGCGCGACTCCGACGCGACGGCGCATCTCTCTCCTCGACGCTCCTCTCTCTCTCCGACACTCATCCCTCTCTCCCCAGCGCCGGCGAGCCCCACCCGCGCCCCGGAGACCACCCGGCGAGCCCCACCCGCGCGCGAGCTCGCCAACCATTGTGGATCCGGCTCCGGCCATGGTGGATCCGGCGAGGTAGGTCTTCTTCTCCTGGTTAGGGTTCCGACGAGCCTCTCCCCCAACCTTTGTCCTGGTCCTTCCATAGAAAAAAAATTTGTTTCCTGTGATCTGTGCCAAGGAGTAACCAGGGGAGAGGAAGAACCAGGGGGAGAGGCGGGCCACGCGCCGGCGGTTGGGTGAGAGGCGACGGCGGAGCGCTCGCCGGGTAGCGGGGTGGAGCTAGGTGCAACTGAAGGGAGAAGAAGAGGTGGAAGCCATGGGATCTTCATCGCATGGTAAAAAAAATCATGTGATAGAACATGGTGAAACACCCGAAAGAGAGGTAGATAGACTCTTTAGTAAAACCATATCTCCCAGGGACTCACCTGGAAAAGACCGCTCGCGCCACGGTTAACGTGTGGCACACGCGCCCGCTCCACGACTCGGAACATGGCCTCGTCCAGTCGTCCGCCCGGACCACACCACCGCCGGCCGGCCGGCCACAAACGAGCCAATCGTCCCGGCTGCACCGCCTCGTGAGCACATGGCGATCACCACCCGGCACCAGTCCACCACCCACCCCATATCATCCCGGTTCGCCTCCGAAAATAACAACGATTCCGATTCCGGCTCGGCCATTCGGAGCGCCAGAGCACGCCGACCCGTTCCTTTTAAAGTCCCTATCTCGTAGCGAAATTTTCCCCTTCGACCACTTCGGGTTCGTTCGACGGCCGACGCGGATGCCATCTTCTTTTTAGGCCCCCTTCCCGTCGCCACCACCACAGCCGCCCGCCCACCCGCGCTGATTGGAAAAGGAAAAGGGGTTTCGCTCTTCCGGAGAAGGCAAGGCGTTTGCCCGCCGCCGTGAATCGTATGGTCGAATCGCGCGGCGGGTGATGGCGGAGGAACCGGCAGTCGGTTACGATGGCTTCGAGGCCGCCGGCGATGCTGGCGCCGGTGGCGTGGAGGACAACCTGTCGATGTCCCTCGGCGACTTCATGGCGTTCCTCGAGACTGAGCCTTCGCCACCCGAGGAGGGCGGGGAGGAGGAGGAGGAGCAGCTGCAGCCTGGGGTGAGTTGCCTCTCGCCGTGCCCTAATTCGCTTTGCGTCGGATTTCGCGATGTCGGATCGGATTTGCTGGGATGGGGCTGCGGTTAGGCTAGGGTTTTGGGCTGCGCGGGGACCGAATACGTCGAGTTTTTAGTCGAATTTTTGCGCTCGGCCTTGCGATTTTGGATGATTTGGGCCTTAGAGTGTAGTGCTTCTGTCGTGTTGAGGTGTCGATGAACCGCTGGGCCAGGCGTGATCGAGGCATCGAGCTAAGTGATTAGTGCGACCTTTTAACTTAGCGACTGTTTTTTTGTTGTTGTTGCCGGTCATCAGTTCATCACTTATTGGATTTTCCTTGTTCTGCTATTAAATGCTTTTCTCGAAACGATAGCTATATGAATGCACTGTTGTTCGGGAAATGGACATCATGTGAGCGTGGTTGCTCGTAAATTATTGGACAGTGCCGGTTTTCCTGAACACGAAGAGGTTCCTGTGGTTCCCTCTGTTGACAGATTTGGAGGGTCGATGGCTGGTGGCACTGTCAGCTATGGGCAATGGTGTCTGCCGGTGAATGTTTCAGAGTTAGAGATGGTTGCGGTAGCAGGACCAGCTTGCAGCTGAATTGATGTTGGGGTGAACCTGCAATGATGGTGCCGGCTATGGTGGGTTCTTGGGCAAAGTGCTATTCATGGTCAACAGTGGTGCCGTTGGGCTGTGTGCTGTTCGGCGAGGAATCCTGGGTAGGAGAAGGTGATGGTAATTGGTTTTGGGTAGGTTTGGTTTGTGATAGAGGCAGTGTATTGTTCTAAAAGTTATAACTAGCACATGCTGCATCTGGCAACTCGCAACATTTTTGCAGCACACAGCCTTGAAATCAGACTTACAAGCGGTATAGATATATGTTAATAAATGAATATTCATTTGTATTGTAAATTATAAAGAAAATCACAAGTCGAGGCAATTTGACGCTGAATCTTTCAGTGTCAATCTAAAATTTTAAAATTGAAGTGGTATAGTAATTAAAAAAATGAATATATGAATATTTGAATATGCAATGTGAATTGTAAAAATTATATACCTAAAACAGTTGAGTTTGAAATACATCATTATAGTGTCTCCCATTAGGGTATGCGAACTTCCAGTTCCAAGAGATGTAAGGAATCTTCTCGAGAAAACTGCATAACAGAAAACCTTTCGTTTTGGCAAAAATTAATACCTCTGCACCATTTAGTGGTCCAAAACCACACTACACTGGCTTGACTGGATTCTTAAATGTTGAAATTTGACTGCTATGCTGGTATCATCGATTTTGGCATGACCTTGCGAGTGGCCACTATCAAGGTAATGAGGGATGTTATCAAGAAGAAAATATGGTGCCTTATTGGTGAGCAAGTGCCTTCATTGTCTGCCTCATAGTGGCCAAAATGGCAAGGGTTACAAAAGAGGTGGGGAAAAGAGAAAAAGAGAGGAGGGGTAGTTAGATCCTTCACTTTTCCACAGTCTAGGCTGTTGCATAAGTGGGAGGAGGAAAAGTTTAATTTTGTTGCAGCTACCTGTCTAACCTAGTAGTATTAGTTATGAAGGTTGACAATAATAATTGTTTTTCATTGTTCAGTGGTATTGTAGGATAGTAACTCACAGCCTGTTTTGCTTGAAAGGTAGATGAATCAAACTGATTTGATCTGGTGTTATTTTGATGGTTGAACATTAAATGCTTTGAGTGAGTGCTGTGACAATGCTTGTTCATTGCTTGTAGGTTTGTGGCAGCTAATGCTATTGATTAATTTGTTTTTTTCTTGATCAATTGATCCTCAATTTTCATATTTCTATGGAAAAATAGATAGAAGCCTGTAGCATTAATTGCTTATGTTTGTTTGGCAATATCAAGTCTTTGGATGCCTGATTCAACTTGAGATGGTGATATTTGTATTGTTGGACCAATGCCCTTATTTTTTGTACTAGGAGTGGAACTGAAAGGAATTTAAGAGTTGACATTATTTTTTCCAGTTTTTTCTTGCATATCTTGCGTTACGTATTGCTTTGTTTGTTTGATCCTAATTGGTCATTTTTGGGGGTGTAAGCAACCAGCGAACCGTATCCAGGGTATGCCTCCAGCCCACCACATAGCACTTGTGCTGTAACGGCCTGTTTGGTTCAGAGCTTCCCAGGCAGCTCCATTGCCAGGCAAGGATGTCATCCCCAGGCGTCCAAAATCAGACGCCTGGGGACACCCACAGCGCCTATCAAAGCTGCCTGGGAGCAAAGCAAACAGGTCCTAAATGTTGTGAGAAAAATAGCATATAGAATATTTTGTTTTGTGTTTTGAGTCTTGTATAACCTTAGGCTGTCATATTTCTTATGTTGCTGAATACAGGTCAATCAAGGTTGTTTCGAGATGCCTGCCAACACTGATGGTTCTGAAGATTTATTCCAAAGCCATGAAGGTATAATGATCTGGCCATTTTGCATATGATTTTGCAGGATGCACAAATTTTCCTCCCTATATAATTTTTGATTTGTTGCTAATCTTGTCACTTTGTGATATGAGCAGAAATGTTTGAGAATGCAGAATTTTGGTCAAACTACTCCCATGTGGACACTTCGGAGTGCCATATGGAGCTCAGCGGAGGAGAACAAATGATTGATCACACAGAGTCTAGCCCTTATGAATTGTTTAGCAACGGTGAGAAATACAAAGGTGGCTGTAGATGAAACTGAATTGCTGTTAACTTTTTTTATTGCTCACTGAATAGCAAATATATATCTTATACTTTACAAAAAAATTTGGTTATCGCTTTGCAGATCTGCAGAACCAATCAAGAACTTCCAACTTGGACAATGAACATTTTCCAAGGGATGCATCAAACCATGCTAATGTTGAAGAAGCAACTGGACCTCCGTATGAAGATCTCTCAAATGGTTTGTACCTTCGACAGCAAACTATATACTCTGGCCAAACACAACTCCAAGTGGAGAACAACACAGAAGGCATGGAGACACAAATGAACACTTGTATGCTGTTTTCCTCTTCAAAAATATATATATTTTATATATCAGTTCCGAAATGGAACCATTAATTAATTAATATATCTGGTGCAGATTTCTTAGGTGGTATATCCACAGAGCACTCAGATTTGAGTGAAATTAAATGGGAGAGTACAGATGAGATGCTTGGTAATACTGGTCAGGATGGTGACCATTTCACTTCGATGGGCATGTTTTCTCTTACCCATAACACAGATGTTCCTGATATTTCTTGCACCAAGTTCAACATGGGTGAGAGAACTGAAAGCATTCACAATGGCAACAGTAGTTGCCTTACTATGCAGGAAGAACATTTACAGGCAGAATGTGGAGGATATCCTCATCCAGATTATATATCTGTTGATATGGTTGATGAAAGATCACTGCATGATTTGCCACATGGGTTTTCACAAAACAATGAGCAATATGAGATGGAGCAGTTCCCACAGAGTATATGTGAAAGCGGTTCTATGCAGATGGGCTCTCCGGACCAATATTGTGATGATACATCTTTATCAGATCTTTACATGGATGTATCCTCCCCAGAGTCAATATCCTGTGAGCAGAACCAGTCTGAAGATATTTGTTATAAGAGCGAGTCTAGCACTGACTCTTCTCCAATACCCTCTAGCAGAAATTCCACCACAGAGGATGCTGATAAATACTTAGGTCAAACATCAAAACAGTTGCTGGACTCCAAAATTGTTCCTTTCAGCAACCAACACACATTTAAGAACATGGGATATCAAAAACCTCTGGCATTGCATAAACAATATGCATATAGAAGTGACAACTCTTCTATTCACAATTCATCAAGAGGTTTTTTCAATATAGATGGGGACGGGGCTTCTGATTTATGTGTGCTCGAGGGTAATAGGAATCCTGCTCCTGATCACCGATTGCCTTACCAGGGAAAGTTCCATCATAATTTTCAGCAACCTATGTATGGCAATTCCATGATTCCTGCATTTGGTGGTATGAGATACAAGCCACATGATGAAAGAATCACTCTGCGCCTCGCATTGCAGGTCATATAGCCCTATAGACTGTTGCTTGCTTATTTTTCCATGCTTAATACTTTGTTTAGCGTTCTCATACTAATCAGGCTGCAGCTAATATTTGTTTAGCCCTGTTGCTGAATGGTGACATATAATGAATACTCATTAGTAAAACATTCTGTGAAAGAATGAAATGCTAAACCTTGATTGAATACATCATTTTGTCTTTTTGTTGATGATGCTTGACCTTTTTTCATGCTTTAGTTTAGGTTACTATTACTAGATGTAGGAAAGGTGATGTCTTGATTTTTTAAATCATTATTATTTTTCACTGTACTAACTCAACTCGCTACTAGGGTTACTTGGCTCTGTCTAAGTCTTACCTTTTCAAGCTATGTAGTGCTCACTGCTCTGATAGCTTGATGTGTCAAACTGTCATAAATCAACAAGCTGAGCTAATGTTTCATGAGCTCACAAATTGCAACCAGACTTTTTGGTTCGTTGACATCTCAAAAGCTGGTAATACTAGGTTTTTAAAGTAGGGCTTCCGTCTTCAATCAATTTAGTAATTGGCATATAGACACACTTATTTTTCTATTTTTAGTCACAGGTGCTAATGTCTCCAATCCTTTTGTGTTTTTCCATATTCTTATATACTATAAAACATTAGCTCAGAAAAATTAACAGCATTGGATTTTAGTGCTATCTTTCTTTTTGCTTCTTCAGCACACTTGACATATTTGGTGATTGGCAGGATATTTCACAGCCAAAATCTGAGGCTAACCCACCTGATGGGGTTTTAGCAGTTCCTTTATTGAGGCATCAGGTTCGCCTTGCAGCTCATGTTGTGTAATTTTATGATGAAAATAGTATTACCACTCCTTGGGTAACTGTTATTACTTTGGACAGAAAATTGCCTTGTCATGGATGGTGCAAAAGGAGACAAGTAGCTCGCATTGCTCTGGTGGAATTCTTGCAGATGATCAGGTATACTAGTTAATACCTTCCATGTTGCCAAGAAAAATGGTCAATTGTGTCTTAAGGTCATTTGGTACTTTTCAGGGCCTGGGTAAAACTGTATCAGCCATATCACTGATTCTTACTGAACGCTCACCAGTTCCACAGTCATCAACTATTAAGAATGAGCCATGTGAAGCTGTGACTCTAGATGACGATGATGAGGATGATTGTATTGAACCTCATCCGAAAAAGCTGATGCAGACATGTAGCTCTGAAGTGACAACTAACACAGTGAAGCAAGAAAATCCTATTGTAGCGGTTAAGACAAGGCCAGCTGCTGGTACTTTGGTTGTTTGCCCAACAAGTGTTTTGCGACAGTGGGCAGGAGAACTGAAGAACAAAGTTACAAGTAAAGCTAATTTGTCTTTTCTGATCTATCATGGTAGCAATCGCACCAAGGATCCTAATGAACTCACCAAATATGATGTTGTGCTTACTACATATTCCATAGTAAGCATGGAAGTACCAAAACAATCAAATCCTGATAGTGATGATGAAGAGAAAGGGAAGCCTGACCGATATGGTGCACCTGTGTCCTCTTCAGGCAGCAAAAAGAGAAAGGCATCCTCTTCTAAGAAAACAAAAAGTAAAAGTGCTGCAGAGAGTTGCTTGCCTGAAAAACCTCTTGCGAAAGTTGCTTGGTTTAGGGTTATTCTTGATGAAGCACAAAGCATTAAGAATTACCGAACTCAGGTTGCCAGGGCTTGCTGGGGTTTGAGAGCCAAAAGAAGATGGTGTTTGTCTGGGACGCCTATACAGAATGCTGTTGAGGATCTCTATAGCTATTTCAGATTTCTCAGATACGATCCCTATGCTGTATATAAGCAGTTTTGCACTATGATAAAGATTCCAATCAGTAGGAACCCAACTAATGGTTACAAGAAGCTTCAAGTTGTTTTGAAGACGGTAATGCTACGCCGGACTAAAGGTCAGTAGATAGGTTATCATTGCCCTACTGAATCTTGCTTATCCATACGTGACACCTTAGTCGTAGGTTGTTTTTTGTTACCACTTACCAATAATTTATGGAAGAAGGGCGGGCCTGGTGCAAGCGGTAGAGTCTTACCGCCTGTGACCGGAAAGTCCCAGGTTCGAGTCACCGTCTCCTCGCATTGCACAGGCGAGGGTAAGGCTTGCCATTGACACCCTTCCCCAGACCCTGCACAGAGCGGGAGCTCTCTGCACTGGGGACGCCCCTTACCAATAATTTATGGAACCGTGTCATGATTTCAGTAGTTACCATATCATATTTTGTTGAGCTTAACCAATATAATTTGAATAGATGTTAAGCAGAATAACAATTATGGGGTAAACATTCGTTCTATTGTTCATATCTCATCATGTTAATTTTAGTGATAAGCATCTAATTTCCTCCTCACTGGTGTGTTTGTGCTGACAGCAAGGTTCTGTTGTTTACCAAAGTAAAATATCCTATATTTTACTAATGCCCTTTCAAAATCAACAGATTAGAGAAACTAGTAAACATTTGTCAGTGTGGACAGAATGTTAAACTATTATTGAAACTTCACATTTTTGACCAACTAGTTTTGTAGGAAATTTTCTCCCAGAAAACATTAGCATATAGCTCCACATATTACTTGTGCTGATTTTCAGCTAAAAATCCTTGTCTTAAATTAACACCTGTGTCATAGATATAAAGTTGCAAGGGTCTAATGGGACAACTTTGTATTACTAAGCTTAATTGAGGAAAACTGAATACAGTGATTCAAATCTACAAGATTAAATTTGATGGGCTTGATGCATAAATGTAGACTTTATAGATTACATAATTAAAATTATACAACTTTGTTTCACAATATGGTATAGGTTGTCGGCTTATAGTGCAGTTTTTCTTATCCTGTGGAAATTTTCCTGACTGTGAGTACTTGTATATCTAGCTTGGTTGTTGACTTGTCAGAACCAATGCTGAAGTCCTTTCTCAACTGTGTGCATAAATGGTTATTGAACTAATGCTCTTCCAGTGCACAAAAAATATTCTCCATTACCAAATTGTTATTATCTTTGCAGTTGGCATTGAATGTTATATTTGTTTATCTTTTGTATTACTCCCTTTGTTAAATATATGACATTTAGGACAAGCTAATTTTGAACTGATTAGCTTGTCTTAAACGTCATATATTTTAAAACGGGAGAGCGTATGATTTGTTCATCTCTTAAGTTATGATTTGTCATGTGTGATCTATCATCTTGTAGCAACCATGCTTGATGGGAAACCAATCATATCCTTACCGCCCAAGACTGTTTCACTTAAGACAGTGGACTTCACTAGCGAGGAGCGTGCTTTTTATAACACTTTAGAAGTTGAATCACGAGAACAGTTCAAGGTCAGTTCACAGTATTTGATTAATAGCCTTGTTATATTCTTCTGTTTTGTCACTCAGCTTGAACTTTGGATATTGCATTTAGATATAGGGACTTTTTACATGGGGCAAAATAAATCAATTAGGGAATGTTTGCAGATGTCAGAACCCTACAAAGTTGAATAACTTTTACATGGCCACAGTGTGTGGTAGGTAGTTCGACATTATGTTGCTGGATTACAAGTGAACTTTAGAGGACTATGACGCATATGGTGTGTAACATGATTGATTGCTCATCCAGTTGCCTGTTTAGGTCACTCTAAAGTTGATACATTGATGCAAGCTTACCCGTTTCATTTGCAACTATTAGAAGGCTATGCTCACTACAATTGCTTTGCAGGAATATGCAGCTGCTGGTACTGTAAAGCAAAATTATGTCAACATTCTATTGATGCTTTTACGGCTAAGACAGGCATGCGATCACCCTCACCTAGTTAGAGGCTATGACTCCTCTTCTAGTTGGATGTCTTCGTTGGAGATGGTGAAGAAACTTCCCATGGAACGGCAGCATGAATTACTTAGTTGCTTGCAATCTTGTTCTGCGTTATGTGCTCTCTGCAATGTAAGTGAATTTCTCTCAATTTTTTCAATTTTCACGTCATTGTGTGTGGTCTTTCTATATGTACCTCGCATATATGTATTATATCTGAGTATTTGCTATCATGATCTGGACTGATGTTCTTTATTTGAGTGCTTGTTGCGACTAAGCTTGCATAATTAAGTTTGTATTGGCAGATAGACTCTGAGCTATCATTACCACGTGAACATAATTCCAGAAAGTCTAGCTTGTGTCATATGACCAACATTTATTAATGCTTGTACTCATAGCGCTGGATGATGGTTTTCTGTAGTTGACCGCTTTCCAACCTGCGTGCTTATGACAGGGCCTCTGGCCTGTGTTGGAAGAAGCTTAAGTAGCCGTAGTTGGGTTGGTTTTTGCTGGCAAACTTATTTATTTTGCTATCTTGCTTGAGGGTTTCGGTAGGGCCAGTGCTGACTGACCCCTTAGTGGTCAGACTATCAGAGGCATGGGGAAGTTGGCGGCGGGAGGTTCTTTCTGTGCACTTGCGAACTTTGTAATTTCATTGCTGAGGTAATGAAATTCAGTCTTATCGTGGTGGAGAAAAACAATTATTAATGTGCTGTTGTGCTGGTTGTTTGGATGTGTGATATATATTGCAGTTGATGGTTAACTTCTTAGTATTAAGTTTGTGTTCTGCCAATGCAGACTTGAGTTTTTTAATTGCCAACTAGCTTGAACTGAGTCAGAGAAATTAAATCTCAGCAAAGTTCATACTTTTTTACTGGTTAAGTTTTCTTGATACCAGCTTGATAGTCGATACAGGGTGCCTGGGCCCTGGGTCATATCCCAATTGTAGTGGATATTCAGCTGTGGATACACTTCTGGTTCTTAACATATGTGAATTATGCAGGACGCTCCAGAAGATCCTGTTGTCACTATATGTGGTCATGTTTTTTGCAACCAGTGCATACTGGAGCAACTCACTGGTGACGACAGCGTATGCCCAGTGTCTAATTGCAGAGTCCGACTAAATACAACCTCACTATTCTCCAGAGGCACCCTTGAATGTTCTCTGAGTAGCTTGACCTGTGATTTCAAGTCTGATGATACCTGTATGGAAATGATACATGCTGAAAAGCGCCCTGGGATAGATTCATCCTACGCTTCTTCAAAAGTGAGAGCTGCACTAGATATTCTTCTCTCGTTGCCCAAAATAGATCCCACCCAAATGACTGATAACAAATGTTCAGTCGGGCTTGAATCTGAGAAGTTTGATGGAAAGGGTACTTCAGAACAAACTGACACCAAGTTGACAGAGAAGGCCATTGTTTTCTCTCAATGGACTAGAATGCTAGACTTGCTTGAAGTCCATTTGAAAGCTTCTCATGTGACATATCGAAGGCTTGATGGAACAATGTCTGTTGCTGCACGGGATAAAGCTGTGAAAGACTTCAATACGGTTCCAGAGGTTTGCATTCTACAACTTCTGGCATATGAAATACATAATGTTTTCAGGTATATGAGTTCTGGTTTTGACTTGCACTATTGGCAGGTTACTGTTATGATCATGTCACTCAAAGCTGCAAGTCTCGGCTTGAACATGGTTGCTGCTTGCCACGTACTTATGCTAGATCTTTGGTGGAACCCGACCACTGAGGACCAAGCCGTTGATAGAGCACACCGTATTGGCCAAACACGGCCTGTCACAGTATCACGATTAACTATAAAAGGCACCGTGGAAGATCGTATTCTGGCTCTCCAGGTAAGTTTGAAGTTTTTCTTGGCTGAGTTATCTGCATTTATATTCATGAGCAGGCATTGAGCTCCAGTTTGGATTCTGTCAAGAATCTTATCCAAAACCTTCCTGGAGGTCAATATTGATAGAGCAGTGTGAAAATTATAATAAGATCTCTTAGTAGTTACTCTCGCCGTCCCAAAAAGGATGCAATTCTAGAACAGTGATATGTTAAAGTATGTCAAGTTTGACCAAGTTTATATAAAAAATACTAATATTTATCGTACTAAATAGGTACCATTAGAATCATGATGGAACATATTTTCCTAATTTTGATGTCATACTACACCTTGCACTCTTTTTGGGATGGAATTAGTAAGTTCATACCATTATTCTGTATATCTTTTTCTCTGGTGATTTTAGATAGCAAGCAGGGTTTTTTTCATTGACATGAACTGGAAACTATGATTCAGAATATGCTTCACCTGAATAATAAAACATAGCTTGCATTTCTTGTCTCGAATACCACTTCCTGGAGTTTTATTGTCTTAAACCTTACATTTGCAAAATTTACATTGGCAAAATCTTTACCTTGTTTATTTTTGGTCATACAAAATATAAACTATTGTTTTGTTGTTAATTTGGGTGGTAATATTAACATTGTAATCTACAGTCTCTTGATGCTTACCTAAGCTGTACAATGTCTCAGGAGAAAAAGCGGGAGATGGTTGCTTCTGCATTTGGGGAAGACAAATCTGGTTCCCGACAGACTCGATTGACCGTTGAAGACCTGAATTATCTGTTTATGGTGTAGAATCGCTCCTGAGAGTTAACAGTTTGTCTCATTGGATGGTGTTAGACAGCGGTAGACAAAAAGGAACTCCAAGAAAATAACAAAATGCTTTCATTTAGGGATTATTAGTTCTTGTAGCTTGTACAGTTGCAGAGATTTAGGGGTTATTAGTGACATGTCTTCCAATTCTTTTTGCACTGAAAGCAGTAAGAGATGCTGAACTAGGTGAATTCTTCAGATAGCTGCAATAGTGCCTGTTGACTTAATATCATGAAGATAACGACAGTCAAAGCTCCCCATACTCGGCTTGTTCGGCTTGTTTTTTCAGCCGGAACAGTGTTTCTCTCTCACAACAATTTATCCAGAACAGTGTTTTTTTAGCTAGTTTCAGTCAAGATTCAGCAAGCCGAACGGGCCGTAACATGGTAAAAATATGTACATATTTTTTGTCGGCATGTCTGACATGTGGGCCGCAGCTTCTGCCAACAGTCAGTTTGTATGTGATAAACCATCGAAAATATTGAGCTGGGTTTGTCATATTGACTTCTTGTCGCAACGTGTTCTCATTGGTCGCATGTTCTTTTATCTTAATTCTTAAGTTTGAGGCGGCAATATCTGAATCGCTCCGGCAGCGATGATGTGGATTTGTGTGTTCCATAACCATAACACCGTGAAACAACTCGAACAGCTATGATATGCACTTCTACTTTGGTGGTTTGGGTGTTCCATAACCGTAACACCATGAAACAGCTCCAGCAATAGAGATCAGAGCCTTGAGGGTTTTCTCTATAGGCTAATATCTTCATTTTCTTTCATAAGACGCGGCCTGAAATGACAGTCTCCTAAATTATATTTTGACAATTATTTTATTATTATTTTTATTTTATACTATTTATGCTTATAAATTTATGATAATTGGAGTGGATATCAAGTTTATATTATAATAGTTAAAAATTGTTAGCTAAATTATTGGTAACTTTTCTTGTTTGAATCTTGATATGTACAAAAAATATAGAGTATGTTTCTGAGCCTTAACTCTAGTAGTAGCCCTAAAATCATGGCCTCTATTTTGGTCCTGTTTGAAAGAACTCCACCAGAAAAATAGATCAATATATTCATTTTTCAAGTCAAACACTTATCAAGTAGCTCCATGCAGCAGTTCCTCAAACCCATGAATCTTCCCCTAGATCTAAGGATTTGGTGGAGCAATTCAAGGCGTGCTTCACCAATTTAAGTTTGGTGGAGTCAGAGAAAATTATCCACAGGTCGGTTATACGCCTCAAATAACGGTTCGTTGTTCTTTCTCTTTCTCGCTTCTTTTCTGTCGCGAGTGCCGCGCCGACGTCGCCTCGCGCCCTCGCCGATGGTCGCGCGCCCGGCCCACCGCTCAGATGTTGCCTTGCGGCCTCGCCGGCGGTTGCAGATGCTGTGCGCGGCTCCTCCACAAGGGAGCGACCGGCGAGCATCGCCCCACTGCGGCTGCTCTCCACGCGGTGTCTCGTGGAAGAATTTTATCCCCAATTTGCTCCTTGGATATTTTCTTACGATACATGCGAGTCCATGTCAGAGCCGAAGCTATACATCCACGGTGGTGCTACAGTGGATCCCGTAGATTTGGAGCTGCTGGAGCTCCACCAAACATGCCCTTTCCATTATATCTTTTCTCACATTTTCTTTGTATTCTACCTATTTGACCCAACATATAAATTCAAACAAAAATGCTAATAGTTTATACAATTGATAAATATTCAAATAGATAATTTGAATTTAAACGACATTGTTCATGTTTCATCAACTAGTGAAAAAATAAACTTCGTCATGGTTAAAAGCCCTTAGGATTTCTACATTTTTCCTTCAAAATTTGTATATTTTCCATTCCTCTATTTTACAACAGCATTTCTATAAAATTCTGATAATAATAATATCCCTATTTATGTTCCAAAGGAGCCCTAGCAGGTTATCATCAGCATTTCCGACCTTAGCACGTGAATCTCGTAACAGAACCAAAACTGCATATGATGGCAAACTTGTTAGTAACACAGGAGAACTTATTTTTGCCACTCTTACCTATGAATCAACAATCAACACATTTCGATGCTATACAACTGAATCTCAAAATCACATAATCACTGCCTCGTGTATAAAGTAAAAAACACCATGCAGCACAACAATAACATTTTCCTGTTGGGGTCAGCAATGTTTTTATGGTTTCAGCTCATGGCTCCAGCAGCCTATCCCTGACTGATGAAACTTCATCCTGAAGACCCATGATCACTAACACCTGGATCCTCGGTGGTGCTCGAGGTTCCCGCAACAGAAATCGAAGCAACCAGATCAGGCAAGGGAAAGTACGTCGGCACCGGCATCTTCGGCGGCAGCGCCGGCAATGACGCCTCGAATTTAAGTACGTTCAGGGCCTGCCTGATGCTTGCCTATGCGCATAGTCAGGGTGAGCACACCACAAACCCACAATCATCAGGCGCTCCATCTGCTTCTCATCGAATTGCCCCTTCAGCCTCCAGTCTGCTGCTTCAAGGAGGGCGTTCTTGCCATACAGCTCCCACACCCACGGCACCAATCTCGCCTTGCTTGGCTCCTCGTTGAGCTCTGCCGGCCGTCGGCCGCACGCGATCTCCAACGCCACGACACCAAAGCTGTACACGTCTGACTCCCGGCTCGCCTTGCCTGTCATCACGCACTCCGGCGCCAAGTAGCCCAGTGTTCCACGAGCTTGGCAAGGCCAAAGTCCCCGAGCTTCGCGCTGAAGGTGGAGTCCAGCATGACATTGCTCGGCTTGATATCCCGGTGGACGATGCACTGCAGACACTCCTCGTGGAGGTAGAGCATCGCCGACGCGAGGCCCAGCGCAATGTCGTGCCACATCGGCCAGGTGAGGAGCACGCCCTTGCCGTAGAGGTGGTGGTCGACGCTGCCGTTGGGCATGAGCTCGTACACCAGCAGGAAGTCGCCCCGGTGCTCGTGGCACCAACCGACGAGGCGGACCAGGTGCCGGTGGCGCAGCTGGCTGATGATGCGCACCTCGGCGGCGTACTGCTTGCGCCCCTGCGTCGAGCCCTTGGACACCCTCTTGATAGCAACCTCCAAGCCCAGCTCCTTCAGGAACCCCCGGTACACGGCGCCGAACCCGCCTTGCCCGAATTTCCGGTCCTCGGCGAAATTCTTCGTGGCTGCGGCCAATTCGGCGTACCTGAACCTTCTCGGGCCGCTCTGGACAACGAACTCGTCCGCGAGCTCGTCGTACTCGCCTCCCATGACGTCGTCGACCTCGATGTCACCGTCGTCGAATTGTCCGGCCTTCCTCCATTGCCTGACGAACCAGAGGATGCCCACGCCGACGAGTACGAGGAGCAAAGCGCACAGTCCCAGCACCACCCACAGGACCACCGTCTCCTCCTTGGGGTCGACGGTGGAGGTGAACTCCCAGTAGAGCACCTGGTGCAGCTCCGCGGCCTCGCCCGTGGCGGCGGAGAAGCCTACGGCGACGGAGTCCGGCAGGTGGTCCCTCAGATCGACGGCGTACCAGAGAAGGACGTCACCCGTGGCGTTGGGGCGCGCGGAGCCGTAGGAGAGCGCGACGGTGAGGTTCTTGGCGCTGCCGTCGTACTCGACGCGCGCGTGAGCCGTGCGGCCGTCCTTCATGCTGGTAGGCCAGTCGGCGGTGGCGGAGGAGACGATTCCCCCGAAATCGACGCCGACGTGGTCGCCGCTGGGGTCCCAATCGTTCTTGTAGGTATCGAACTCGACGGCGACGAGCGTGCCGGCGCGGACCGAGGAGGAATTGAAGAGGCCGAGGAGTCCCCCCGCGGAGGATTCGGGGGAGGGCGGAGGGGAACGGGGAGAGGAAGAAGGCGAGCCCGTCGCCCGAGGCGGAGGCCGGGTCGGGGGCGGCGATGGAGAAGGCGAAGGCGGTGACGAAGGAGGCCGGGCGGCGGGAGACGGGGTCGGCGAGCGGGACGGCGCGGGAGTAGAAGGCGCGGCCGGTGCTGCTGGTGATGGGGCCGAGGCGCTCGTCGCGGGCGAGGCGGATCGCCTTGTTGTAGAAGGCGTCCCCCTGGAAGGCAATCCCGGGCGGCGGCGTGTCCGAGGGTGAGGTGAAGTTGTATGTGAAGGAGAATGGCGCCACGGGGTGCGGCAGCAGCAGGAGGATGAGGATCGGCACGGCGGCGACAGCGGTGCCGCCGGCGAAGATCCCCATGGGGAAGGGGCGCGCGATGGGCCAGTTCAGCCGCGGAAGATGAGCAAATGGGGACTGTTGATAGGGGCAGGGGGTGTTGACCTCCAATGAGGTGTCACTGTCCAGGACTCAAGGTCGTCTCGTAAGCTGGGATTGGTGTATTGTGCCATTTCTCTCTGGATGTCGCAGAGGATGTTCCACCGCGAAATTAACTGTAAGGCCATTTGTAACGCGTTTTTTTTTTCTTTCCGTTTCATGTGTTTTATTTTTAAATGAGCTGATTCTTGTGAAACTTTTATATGATTTTTTTTAAATTCCTGCGTTTCAAAAAGGACCTAAATGTGAAGGTAGGATCACAGTTGGCTTGAATTATATACTGATTTTTTTTTAAAAAGGAATAACTGTCTAGCAAATTTGTATAGAAAGTGTGGCATTCCTATACTCTACGGATTCACCTTTAATGAGAAGGCTTCGATATCGTCTCTTTGGATTGGTTATATTGTGTTATTTTTCTCTGCGTGTCAGTAGACAGTACTCAATAGTGTTTCACTAGTCAATGCCAGCTGATTATACTACTCAATAGTGTTCCTTGTGTCATGTGACGAGGATACGTACCAGGGTATACTCACCAAAGCGTTTGTTGAGAGCAGACCTAGTGGTCCGACTAATCTCTTGGCTAGTGAGGCTGTCCCCTGAATACGTCACTCAGTACCCGGATATGGACCCACAACAAGGCTCTCTATCTCTCGAGTTCTCAAGGCCCCACTCAATTTCGCAGAAATCAAGGCCAGGCCGGACATAAATCGTACCTGCAATGCAATGAAATCGTAGGAGGGCTGCGTTTTTACAGCTCTGCAAATTTGTATTGAGAGGCGATCCAGAAATGTATTGCTCCACACTCTGTTTGGAGCTCTCTGGCCTTTATAAGCTTTTATTGCTTGATAATTTGCTAACCGAAATGCGTGCTCTCATGTAATGCTTGCATATCTGGTTGTTCCTCTTGGCGAGGCCTGGCAAAGCCCGATGAAAAGACGGCAGCAAATTTGCAGCCAACTTGCGTCGTGTGACTGCGCGTGTTGTGCTGCAGTTTGTTGGATCTGGTAGATCAATTCCGTTCAAGCGCTGAGCTGTTTGTTTTGCAAGTAAGATATATGTCGAAAAATGGAAGAAAGAGGCAAGGTACAATGGTCAATTCAGCCATCATTCTCTCTTGCAACTGCTCAATTACATAATAAAGGAGAAGCAAATTTAGTTTTTACACAAATGATGAATCAGGAAACTCATAGGACTCGAATACGTTTCTAAACTACGCAAAGGTTCACCACACTGCTTCTTGAAGGCCATTTCCCCTCCTTTGTTAGAGCAGCCACCTGACCTGAGAGGGTGACAGCAGTTTCGCGACGAAATGTACATATGAGGGCGATCGTTGCTGCTTTGTCTCTAGTTCTTGATCGCCCCATCACTCCTCAACTGTATGCTCTTTCCCGTTAGCCACCTTGATCGCATCGTTTGTCCAAGCCCATATCTCTCGTGCTCTGCTCTTGCAAGATTCGTTTGTTGCCCGGTTAGCCAAACGATCGTCCAGGTGCCTGGATCAGAATTCACTTCACGATTTCGACAGCCAGCACAACCAAATTCTCCCAGACATAAAAACTGTTATTTTTATAGAATCCCACCAAATTAAAAATACCAGTGTGAACAAAAAAAAAGTGAACAGCATTTCAATGGCATCCCAGAGGTAACGCCCCTCAGTAACTGATACGCAACATAAAAAATACCGCTTCCTGTAATCCTATAGTCAATTTTGCAAGCCGGACGTCCCAAGCAATCAGTTGGGCCCTCCACGCCACTTGGCTCGGATGAAACGAGAGGATAAGAAACGCCGCCGCAAAGTAGCAAAGAAGCTGCGGGAGGATGGAAGTACGTGCTTGTGCAGTTGTGCTCTACCATCTACCACCATCCTGTCCTGTGTGTCTTTGGCCCGGCGCGCGCCCCGGTCGCGTGGAAGAAGCCAAGAACCAGAGCAATTCAGAATGCCACGGCCGCGCACCCCTCATTACGCGATCCCAGCCGACGCCGCGCGCGCCACGCTCTCCTCTCCACTCCTCTCCCGGGCGGCCACGCACCCCACCTTTCCCTCCACGTCACACCGGCTCGCAAAACCATCGCCTGCGGGCTACCATACCAATACCAATACCATACCACCCTGCCCACAAATATTCCCCGCCCTTTTCCCCACGTCAAGTCATCTCCACCACCTGAAAACGCCGGAACCCGATTCCATTCTTCGGCGCCCTCTGTTTTATAGCCGGTGGAGCTGCCGATCGTCTCACCTTTTGTAGCCCAGAAGCATGTGCCATCCGGGGCTGCCGCCTCTGCCGCCGGGCTGCGCGGTCAGGCGGCGGGAGCGGCAGGCGGCCGTGGCACCGTTGCCCTCACCGTCTGTGCCACGGGCGCGCCACGCGGCGCCGCACTACTACTGCGTGTGCTCGCCCACGGCGCACCGGGGCTCGTTCAGGTGCCGGTTGCACCGCAGCGGCTTCGAGTGGGGGCGCCGGCGGCCGATCGCGAACACGCCGGGGCGTGCTGAAGCCGGGACGGCGATGCACGCGCGGATGGCGGCGCCTTGACGGTTCTCGGCCGGCGTCGGGCACGGGCAGCCTGGTTGAAGCTGTATATTTGTGTGTAGATGCTGTGTTGATCTCTCGGCTAGCTCCTCATGGCGCCTTCTAGTTCTTAGAGTGCACTGTGGATATGTAACTGTACAAACTGCATAGCTGTCAGAAGAAACGCAAACAGGCATGTGAACATACATGACTTTATACAGCTCCCTAGATTTGCCCAGAAAGTGACACTGTCGTGCATTATTGGTTAAAACCATCAGTGAAGAATAGCATCAATCGTGCAATCGAATCCGATGCAGGATTCAGAATCGAATTCATGCGTATGCACAGGCCATTACACTAAGTACAGGAAAACTAAGGAATAGCTGCATGATGGCTGTCAGTCCATGGTGATCCTGCCCGGACCTCCCTTGAGTGAGCTGTACAGCGGCCTCGATCGTTTGAAGCCGAATATGTCTGTAATTCTGTACATTTTGGGCGGATCGGCTTCGGCGATTGTCTTGTTGAATTCTGCCGAATGGTTGCCGCCGAAGACTTGCACGCTTAGTGTCCTCCTTTGAGGTGCGTCCACTTTTATGTAGTGGTCGAAGTACTCAATGAATTCTTCTTTCTCGAGCTCTCTTAGCATAGCGACCTGTTACATTTGTTAGCGAAGGTCATACATCTTGACAATTATTGGCACAATCTTCTTATTTCTGTTTCCTCTGAATATAAGGTAGTGACAATTATAAATTTCGTGATAATTTTCAACTATTACAGTATTATGTGTTTACTTGAAAGGCAACAGCCTGTTTGCTCTATACTTGATACAATTTCCTTTACAGGCATTGTTGCTGAAAGGAGAACACTTACCTCAGACTCGACTCTATCAAACTTCAGAGTTCCAGCCCCAATCTCTCGCCAGTAGAAACGAGATTCCTCCCATAAGTTTTTAAACTTCTCCAGTTTAGAATCAATTAGTGATTTCACATTTCTCTGAAATAACAAAGCCCATGTCAATGCTTCAAGCGCAGAAGATCTAGTCTAGTGATATGAATTAAGGTCCTTTGGTTATGAGCATACAAATAGTCCAATATTACAGGAAAATAAAAAAATGAGGATAAACTTAGACTATGACGTCATATTTCTGATTTTTTTACCCATAGTTTCCCATCCTTTTGATCCACTATCTAGTCCACATGTTCTCACCAATAGTGAGTCCTGTGGTAAATGTGGCTTCTTTCAATCCAATGGTGGAGATGTTAAAGAGCGTTGCATGGTGTCTTACAAAAGGAACAACAATTTTGCATTGCAAAGCACATGGTTTACTGGAAAAATTCATTAGGTGCAAATGGAAAACCAAAGGCACTAACCTTGAAATCCTTGTCGGAGAGTTCATAGATTTTGCTTTCAAACATCTTAAAGAATTCATCAACTCTAACATCAAGGTATGAAGGATCCTAGGCATCCAACAAAATATCAGCAGGAGCAACAACTACTGTAGGTTCTTTTCAGCGGCGGATCCAGAAAATATTTTAGGGGGGGCTGAACAACACTGCTGCTCGATCTTAAGTCTCAGCCCCCCCTACACTATAGAACTTTGCCTAAAAATTCATATGGTCTCTACAGTAATTTGCACTGTTTTGGGATGGGTAGGGGGGGCTTGAGCCCCCCCCGCCCCACTGCTGGATCCGCCCCTGGTTCTTTTCAAAAAAGAAAAAAAGAAAGAAAGAAAGAAAAAACTACTCTAGGTTCTCGTGTACCTTTACTGTGGACTGGATAACAACCTGGAGTGCCAGGACTCCATAGTCGAATCTGTAGAATGTAGCAATCATTGTAAGCTAAGAGATAAATGATATTTCAATTTTCAAATGTGAACTAAATTTTCATGTTATTCCTAAAAGGAGAAATTGACAAGCAGTACATGTAACAAAAACCTCAAGCATATACCTCAGAGAAAGACTTGTTATATACCCAAGTTGTTCAACAGTTCGTAGCTGGTTGAAGGCTGGCTGTCTTGCTATTAGAGAGAACAGCTCAAGTTTGATATTCAAAATGGCGTCATCCTGATGCACCTGAATATATTAAAGATACTTAGTATCTTGGAATGCTTACAGTTAGTTTGAATGTCCCCTAGCAAGATACATTCCATATATAATCAGAAAATCAGATATACTGAACCAGGGAGAGTGTTTAATTCTTATATTGACTATGGGTCAGAGAAGACTTAAGTCATTCTGACTTATAAATAAATTCTTGTTGAGTTTGAGTATTTGATATTAGTTTGCATGTAAGCAGAATATTGTATCACAGAGCTTTAAAATGTTAAATAAATGGGGTAAAACTTGCTGAATCTAATGACTTTCACTGAGTGCACAACTCAGTGATAACCAGTGAACCACCAACAATCCTCTCCACAATATTTAAAGGTACAAAGTACAAACCACCAATCACTTAAGTTTTGATTAATTCTCCCTCCGTTTTCAAATATATGACGCTGAGGACAAGCTATTTAGTTTATTTTTAACTAAATAGTTTGTCCTAAACGTCATATATTTAAAAATGGAGGTATGATTGCACTTAGGGCTGTTTGGTTGGGAGCCTGGCCTGGGCAGCACCAGCCAGGCAGCTTCATCCAGCCCCGCCTGGGAGAGCTGCCTGTGCCAGACAGGTCCAGTCCACAAAGCAAACAGGCCCTTACTGCATGGAAGGACATAAGACATCTATACCTTCTTTCAAAAAAAAAAATGACATCTATACCTGAATATATTGGATAACTGATGAATTCTCATTCTTCTGGTTTAATCCCTCAGTTTGGTAGTAGCATTTCAACTCATTTTCAAGCATGATGACCCTTTTAGTCAGATATTCTGATGGAGACATGGATTTGAACAAAGAATTGGGGGCATTAAATATAGTGTTTTCGATCTCTTCTACGACAGATTTTGCTTCACTTGGTTCAATGTTCCCTACAAGGAGAATTGTAAACGTGCAATTAGAAATATTTTCCACTCGACTCACATAAATAAATTAACACTATGATCGGTACAAATGCCAAACCTTGAACATAACATTCCAAAAATGTTTTCGACAGTAGGTGTGGTACAAACTTTGCAAAAGAATCCGATTCAAGCTTAGAAAGAGCTTCAAGTTTCTCAGCTACAGGCCATTTTTTATCTTCCAATATCAAAGAGACATAGTATGAAGCTTGAGAATAAGGGTGTCGGAAATTGAAATTCTGGTAGTCCTTGACAGAAGTTTCCTGAGATTTAAGATGTTGGTCAGTAATTACTCATAAGAAATAACAATAATCCTTAGCATCACTGACTTTTCGAAATGTGCATATTGCTCTATTTCATCATAATCATGATGCAATGTGCCACTTGCTATGCATGAATGCATAAACAACTGCACCATCACAAAACAGTTAAACCTTGGAACTAGACACAGTTGCGTGATAGCACCAGGCCCCCCAAAATTAAGGACCCCCAATCACTACTTAGTCACTAAGTCCAGTTATGTCAAGCCTAAAATTTGCTCCAAAGTATGGGTTAGGTTCCACATACGGCCAAAGCCCACATTGTTACTACTCTGGACAGTGTGTAATATCTTTATGGCTTCTTGCCTCCTGGACGTGGATGCTTATGGCTTCAATTCTATTGACCTCATGTCAACAAATTCGCATCAAGGTTTGATCACATTCAAAATTTACATCCTTTATTGGTTACCATGAACTTCACTTTATTCTTAATTTAGCTTTGTTCTATTTGTGAAACGTGAAACAAAGAAGTTCATTACTTTTCCACGTCTTGTAGAGTTAGAAAGCTATGCACTTAGATATATGATATATCTAGAATCTAGATACATAGTAAAAACTATAGATCTAGAAAATCCAAAACAACCTATAATTTGGAAAGAAGGTCACATTTGTTAGCATCTCTAATAGGTATTGACTAAGACTGTAATACTGGATGGTTAGGTGCATAGCTTAGACACCAAAATAAAGACAATTTGTTTTTCTAAAAGAATTATGTTAGATCGCTTCATTTGTATAAACTAAATTTAAGTATAAAAACCTTCTATTTAGCTAGATGATTTTTGGAAGACTGCCATAACTTCCATATAACTCGTAAGCTAACAAATATATCTCAATAATGAATAAGAATAACACATGCAGAGCACAAGGTCCATGGAACCTTGGTACTTTTTCAGACTCCCAAATATCATGTCAACAACTCAAATCTGACATAACATATCAGCTGTAAGGTTAAATGCGGCTTAGAAATATTATGAAAGAGAACAATAACGAAAGTAATAAGATCCACATATTACCTTCAGGGCAGAAAATCTGTTTGGCTTAACTTCAAAATTCGCAATTTGCACTAGTATGGCATTTAAGAGAACTCTCATCTTGTCATTGTAACCACCTAAAGAAACCTTTAATAAACATTTAAAGTTAAATGGGAGAGTTCTAACAAAAATTAGCATAATAGCAGTAACTTCACATTGCATCAGAACTGCAACAGTCAGCATGATAATTATAAATGCGAAGCATATAGCTGCTAGGAGCACCACTGTGTGCACTGAGGGATATAAGCAATCATAGTAACTAAAAATACCTGGAATCCAGCTGAAGTAAGATATATTGAATAGAATAAACCAGCAATTTGAGCATCATAAGCTGCAAAAAAAAGCAGATAGTATACATGAACCTTAAGTTGGCAGTACTCTCTAAATTGATTGTTATGCATGGGAAAAATATAAAAGTACACCAAATTTACAGATTCGTGCTTACCATAAGCATTCAAATAATCTACTAGCAAATCAACAAAGAGCTCAGTAGCAACAACTGCTTCAGGGGAGTGGCTGGATAATGGACAGTGGAAATCAATGATAATGTGAACCTTTGGTGTGGAGAACAGCATATCAGGCTTATACCACAACTGTGAAAGTGGGCCCTTCCTTAACACTGTTGGAAAAGTAACCTGGTAAAACATTGTCCTTTTCGTTAGTTATTTACTACACAAGGTCCCAACAATTTCATATGAATATGAGTACGCAGATGATTCTCCTGCATGTTCGAGTAAAAAAAGTACAATGATGTTAGCATTGAGGTACTCTAAAACTGACCTTTTCATGCACTTCTTTAAGAGATAAATCCTTTGGTATGAAGATATTAGGTTTTGGGAGATGGAGTTTCTCAGTAGGAGCTTTTTTAATCCATTGCTGTCAAGTAGAGAAAATCAATAACAATATGTTAGCACATCAACAGGTTAGGTGAAATAAGATGGAATTCAATAAGATGAGGGAATACAAGAAAACGGGGCTTTTGAAAAGGTGAACCTGTATCACAGAAGGAGTGACATTTTCAACTGAATATGGTGTGTTATACCAGGGCTCAGCAGAACTCGTAGATCCTTCAAATTTTTTGGACTCCCAGAATATTCTAAATAAAGAGAAAGAAGTATTGCATAAAAGAAAGAACAAATGAATATGGTATAATGGGCAAAGTAGATGGAAAATAAATTCGATTATATGAAAGTAAAGCGGAATAATCAGCTACTGGGATTAACATTTTAACTACCACCTATGAAAGAGTTACCCAAATTGTATGGACTATAATGTTAGAATATCTAGTTACTCATGTGAACACTCTACCGGTTAGGCCCTTTCCTGTGTGAATGCGGCACTGGTCAGGCCCTTTGGGCCCCTATATACTTGTAATCCCTTTGGTACCTCAAATCAAGTATGCTAAGCCTGTTGGCTTAACCTTCTATCATGGTATCAGACGACTAATTGGTCCTGTGCCTGTTTCTCTCCCACCCAATCCCCTGCTTCCGCTCCTTTCCCGGCGCCCGTGTCCGCCTCTTCGCGCCGCGCCCATGGCTGCCCCTCCATCCGGCGACTCCAGCTCCGGCACCTCGACTACCGCCGCCGCGGCCAAACTTCGCGACGAAGCCATCGCCGCCGCCAAGAACCTGGAAGACGAGGCCGCTTCTCTGCGCACCTCCAACGCCGAGCGCAGTCAGCAACTCCAGGAGGAGGCGGACCTTCTCAAGTCCGCCGCCGTCGCCCTCGATTCGGAGCGCGCGCAGGCCGACGCTCTGGAGCAGCAGGCCTCTGCCCTCCGGGACCGGCTCCGCACTGATCCCCTCCGCGACAACGACTCGCTCGACGACGACGATACGCGCTCCATCTCCTCTGAGGCCGCGACCATCGCTCACCTGCATAGCCAAGCCGCCGCCGTACAGAACATCAAGAACTTGATCCCCATCGTTCTTGATCTGCAGTCCTCCAACTACTCCAAATGGCGTGGCTACGTCCTCCTCACCCTCAGCCGCTTCGCCCTAAAGGACCACGTCCTCAGCAACGTCACCCGCCCCCACGATGCGGCGTGGTCCCGCATGGACTGCGTCGTCGTCTCGTGGATCTTCAACACCATCTCCCCCGACCTCCTCGACGTCGTTCACGAGCGCGACGGCATCACTGCTCGGGCGGCGTGGCTCGGCATCGAACAGCAATTCTTCAACAACCGCGAGTCCCGCGCCATGCTCCTCGACGCCGAGTTCCGCACTCTCTGCCAGGGCGCCCTCTCCATCGACGAATACTGTCGCAAGATGAAGAGCATGGCGGATGCGCTTGCCGATCTTGGCGAGCCCATCTGGGACCGTACTCGTGTGCTAAACGCGTCTGCGCGGACTCAATGAACGTTTCCGATTCATGTCGCGATTCGTCACTCGACAGAGACCCTTCCTCCTCCATCGACGTCCCGCGGCCGACCTCCGCCTGGCCGAGCTCAACATGGCGCCACCCTCAGCACTCGTCGCCTCGTCGTCCAGCAGGCCGCCCGCTCCTCCACCGTCCTCTGCACCCCCGCGCCCCCATCAGGCTGCCGGGGGGCAGCCGTCTGGCAACAGCAACGGTCGCGGTCGGCGTCGCCGCGGCGGACGCGGCCAAGGCGGCACACAAGGCGGCTCACCAAGTGGCCAGCAACCCCCTGGCGGCCAGCAGTGGCCCTCCATCCTCAACCCATGGACCGGGTCCATCCATATGTGGCCCGGGTCCACCCCTGGAGGTCCTCGCGGTCCACCGCCTCGCGTCGTCCCGCCTCCATCACCGCAGCAAGCCCTAGTGGCTGGTGTGCCCCCGGGGTACTTCACTCCATCGTCGATCCCCGGGGCATACTACCAGGCGCCCCAGCAGGCGCCCTCTCCTACTTGGTCGCCATGGACTACCGAGTCCCTCGCCAACGCCTTTAGTACCGTCGCCCTCACTCCGCCACCAAGCTCCTCGGACTGGGTCATCGACTCTGGTGCTTCCTCTCACATTGCCTCCAACCCTGGTATGGTCACAGCCTCGCCATCATCCTCTTTTCCTTCCTCCATTGTTGTTGGCAATGGTGCCACCCTTCCAGTGGTTGGCACTGGCTTCTCCATCCTTCCCGGCCCTTTTCGCCTCAACAATGTCCTTATAGCTCCTGACATTATTAAAAATCTTCTTTCTGTACGCAAGTTCACCACTGACAATTCTGTTTCAGTTGAATTTGACCCTCTTGGCGTTTCTGTGAAGGATCTCCACTCCAAGGACACCCTCCTTTGATGTAACAGCTCGGGACCTCTCTACACGTTGCAGCTGCCTACATCTTCCTCCAGTTCCTACGCTCTTGTGGCTACTCCCTCCCTGACTACCTGGCATCGTTGCCTCGGACACCCTGGCAAGGCTGCCGTTCAGAGTCTTGCCCAATCCTCTTCGATCATCTGCAGCAAGCCTGACGACGACTCCCTCTGCCATGCGTGTCAACTTGGACGCCATGTTCGCTTACCTTTTACTAGTTCCTTGTCTAGAGCAGCTAAGATTTTTGATTTGGTACATTGTGATCTATGGACATCACCTGTTACCAGTATATCTGGTTTCAAATATTACTTAGTTATCCTCGATGACTACTCTCATTTTCTTTGGACTTTTCCCCTTCGTCTAAAGTCTGATACTTTCCCTACTATTTCCAATTTTTTCGCTCATGTGAACACTCAGTTCAGCTGCACCATCAAAACGGTACAGTGTGACAACGGCCGTGAGTTTGACAACTCCGCCTCTCGTGCGTTCTTCCTTGCCAACGACGTTTCCCTCCGCATGTCCTGTCCTTATACTTCACAACAAAATAGGAAAGCCGAGCGCATGATTCGCACCACTAACAATGTCACCCGAACCCTCCTTTTTCAGGCTTCCATGCCACCCTCCTACTGGGCTGACGCCCTTGCTACTGCTACCCTCCTCCTCAATCGGCTCCCTACCAAGACGCTGCTCATGAGCACTCCTTTCTTCGCGCTCTACGGCGCCCACCCCTCTTATCATGACCTACGAGCTTTCGGATGCACCTGTTACCCCAACCTCACCGCTACCACTCCTCACAAACTTGCTCCTCGCTCCACTCTATGTGTGTTCATCGGCTACTCGCCTGATCACAAGGGCTACAGGTGCCTCAACCTCGCCACCAACCGTGTCATCATCTCTCGGCATGTTGTTTTCGATGAAACAACATTTCCTTTCTCCCTTCGCCGACCCTCACCTCCTCCACAAGAGCTTGATTTTACCCCCTGCCAGTCTTCCCTTTACCTGCAGGTACACCCGGGCTTGCTGGCTCCTTGCCAGCACCCACGCCTCCACATGCCCGCTCCCAGCCATCGCCACCGGTCACCCCGATGGTTGGTCTGGGCACCTCGACGCCCAGATCGCCTCCACCAGGTTTCCCTGTCCTGCGGCCGCTGATCGCCCGGCCGCTCGCTCACGACGCGCCGATCCCCTGAGTCTCTGGTACCCCGGCGCGCATGCGCACCTCCCAAGACGTCATGTGCCCCAGCGCCCTCTGTCCGGGCCCCCGGCACCCTTACCCCGGCGCCCCTGGTAGCCAGCGCCCCTGCTCAGAGCCTCCGGCCCATGGTGCCCCAGCGCCCGCCTTACCTCAGGCGCCTTCGGCTCCCTCCTTCAGCAAGCCTCCTGTCATCCACGTCTACTCCAGGCGCCCTCCTGCACCCGGCTCACCTTCTGAGCCCGCTGCGGGGGCCCCTCCTCGATGCTCCAGCATTGTTCCCTCTCCGCCACGCTATGTCAAGTACGGCCCTCCGGTTCCGACAACGGCCGTCTCCATCCCTCCGGTCGCCAACTCCCATGGCATGGCGACCCGTGGAAGTCCGGTGCACGGCGACCTTTCGTCTCGCCTTGCATACTGAGGCCCTGTCACCGGTACCGCGGTCGTGTCGCGATGCTCTTGCCAATCCGCATTGGCGTCGGGCCATGGAAGAAGAACATGCTGCTCTTCTGGACAACCACACTTGGGATCTTGTCCCTCGCCCGGCCAAGGTCAATGTGGTCACTGGAAAATGGATTTTCAAACACAAGTTTCATGCTGATGGTTCCTTGGAAAGATACAAGGCTCGTTGGGTCCTTCGCGGATTTACACAAATACCGGTGTTGATTACGACGAGACCTTCAGCCCTGTCGTCAAACCAGCCACCGTTCGCACAGTCCTCACCTTGGCACACTCTCGGGACTGGCCAATCCATCAACTCGACGTGAAGAATGCTTTCCTCCACGGGACTTTGTCAGAAACTGTGTACTGCTCTCAGCCCACCGGGTTCGCTGATCCTGCTCTCCCGGACCATGTTTGCAAGCTCAACAAGTCTCTCTACAGGCTGAAGCAGGCACCCCGTGCGTGGTACAACCGGTTTGCCGCTTACCTGCTCACCTTGGGCTTCACTGAAGCCAAGTCAGACACCTCCCTGTGCATATACCGACGCGGCACCGAGACAGTATATTTGCTCCTCTATGTGGATGACATCGTCCTCACTGCCTCCTCTCAGCAGCTCCTCCTCCGTATGATTGCTGCCCTGAAGAAGGAATTTGCTATGAAAGACCTTGGTCCCTTGCATCACTTCCTAGGCGTGGCGGTTCAGCGACACAGGGACACTCATCCTCTCACAGCGCCAATACACCCTGGACATCCTTGATCGACATGGCATGAGCGGCTGCAATCCCTGCTCTACCCCCGTCGACACTTGTGCCAAGGTATCTGCAGATGCTGGCCCTCTTGTGGATGACCCACAGCCTACCGCAGTCTTGCAGGTGCTCTCCAGTACCTGACGTTCACCCGCCCCGACATTGCATATGCCGTCCAGCAAATTTGCCTTCACATGCATGATCCCCGAGAGACTCACCTGATCGCTGCCAAGCGGATCCTTCGCTACCTTCAGGGCACCATCAGCTATGGCCTGGTCATCCCCCGGTCTGCCCCGACTCAGCTCGTCGTTTACACTGATGCTGACTGGGCAGGCTGCCCGGACACTCGCCGCTCCACCTCTGGATACGCTGTCTTCCTCGGTGGCAGCCTCGTCTCCTGGTCATCCAAAAGGCAACCCATCGCTCTCTCTCGAGTCAAGCCGAAATCTGCGTCTTTGTTATAGCAGCGTCGCCAAGTCATGCGCCGAAGGTTCATGGCTGCAGCAACTTCTACAAGAACTGCACCACCCCCTGAAGACTGCCTCCCTCATCTACTGCGACAATGTCAGCGCCGTCTACCTCTCCACCAACCCCGTTCAGCATCAACGCACCAAGCACGTGGAAATTGACCTTCACTTCGTCCGTGAACGGGTCCTACATGTTCCCACAACGTCACAGCAGTACGCGGATGTCTTCATCAAGGGGCTTCCTTCTTCTGTCTTCATGGAATGTTGCTCCAGTCTGAACGTTCGTCCCAGCAACGTTCCAACTGCGGGGGGGGTGTTAGAATATCTAGTTACTCATGTGAACACTCTACCGGTTAGGCCCTTTCATGTGTGAATGCGGCACTGGTCAGGCCCTTTGGGCCCCTATATACTTGTAATCCCTTTGGTACCTCAAATCAAGTATGCTAAGCCTGTTGGCTTAACCTTCTATCATATAAGAGTCAGTTGACTGAGGTCAAGTCCTCATCGAGGCAAATTTGAGTGCTCTATTTTCTTCTCTTAATATAAGGCCACCAAGTTAGTCCTTGGTTGGTCTTTTCTTTGGGGGTGGGTGGGTGGGTGGGTATGGATTATAAGATAGCTAGGCCAAACACATGCTTACACTAAGCATGTGGAGCTTCCCAGATCATGATTTTTCCAAAATTAAACACTGTACATCCGAGCACAGTTCCATCAACTCCCAGCATTTCTGATACATATATGCATATGTGAATGAACAAAATCATAAACCGAGATTATCAAAGAGCAGCTATATTTGAGAAGAGTGAGTAGGCTGTTGTATTTGCCCCCCAGTGACAGGAAGGGAGATTTCACAAGATTTGCCAAGATTTGCCAGAGTTACTAATGTATCTCCTACTGCTAGCTGAACTATGAGATTGAAGAAGGTACTCTAGTTGACAAAGTTTAATACAGCTTTGCTGCTCTTTTCTTTTGATCTGCATACTCATCAGTAACTGAAGTGGCAAAAGGGAAGATAATTTTGATTCTATTGCTTGATTTACAAGCTCTCCCCCTTTTTATATCTTAGAAAAGAACCATTTCATGTATATGTGTTTACAAGGATAATGATATAGATGGTAGACTGCAGAGCATACCTTACTGTTTCAGGTGATAGTTGATCGAGTATCACATTTATTCTTTGTGGTGCATACTTTGATGGTAATGCTGCTCCAACCAGCCATTCTTCTGGTGGGAACAACTGCAATACAGCTTACAAATATTTGAAACTGTAAGGATAATAATGAACAGATGAAGTTACAGTTCAACAGATTTCTGACACAATAAAGAAATTGTACTTAGTAGAATGTTTGTTGATTAGTGTTGTCAATGAAAGAGAATACCACAAGACAATATATTACGTATAAAGATAAAATTATATTAGAAATAACTGCAAAAGCTGGACCATGCTATAGGTTGTAGCGAAATATACCCGCATAGTTGAGACAGTATGCTTCACATAGTTGATTGGATGGACTTTGTCTTGATAATGGAACTCCATTTCATTTATCGCCACAAGCTAGAAAATGACAATATTAGCATTTACTTTTTGTGTAACTGAATGTAAATCAATTCATTTGTTCCACAAGATGCTAACCACATGTAGAAGAGTTGATATTATGACTTATCAACCGGTATTGGCAACAAACAACCTCTAAATATTTTGTGAAAGGAAAATATAACATGAAAACAAGCAATTCATCGAATATAATATTACTTAATATGTAAGCCATGACCCTTTCCATTACCTCATTAAATATCCACTCATGGACTCCGTCTTCTTTTAATAGATGAAGATATTTGAAGATCAACCCAACAATATCCTCCATGTGTTCTACAATGTACAATCATTGCAGCATAAAAGGCTTAAGTAATATCAAAGTGCTTCAAATTAAAATAGTTATGCTAGTTTAAGTAAGCAAATATGGATCAAAACTGACCATGACCAGCATCAGTGAGCCTCATGCTTACTGAGAAAAAGGAATATTCATTACTGTCAGTGCTCTCTCCAGCCATTAAGTTCATGGCCCATCCTACAGTAGCCAGATTAGATATGTTACAGGTTGACAAGTAAAGGATGACATGACTATATCTCGAGTAGATAAGGTCAGTAAAACAACCAACTGTGGAAGTAAACTTACCTAGTTCCTTTATAATATGGAAGATGGACCCCTCGCCTTCATGCCCAATGAGGTGACTCAGATAACGGCAAGGACCTTCTTTGTAAAACTGGATGCTAGGTGTAATTGGCCATATAATTCTTAGATAGTCCCCTTCTTCTATTGGTAGTGCTTTGACAAGAAGCTGTATAACAGAAATCGCCCACATTTGCCGTCATTAAACCAATTTTCTCTAACAAATAGAACTGTCAAATGCGCTGACAAATAGAACTGACAAGCATTCCATCTTCTACCTGCAAATGTTCCTCTGAAAGAGGATGACTTGGACATTTGAAACTTCTCTGATCAGTGTTTTTTATGTCACTAAACATACGCTCAACCAAGCCCTGAATGCAATCGAGGCTCTCTACAAAATCATTTTATCAGTAACAAATAGGCTTATGTACTCCAATGTACTAATTTGCAATACTTACCCTTTCCATAAACAACAAGGTGCATAAGGTTTGCTGAATAATTCTCGTAAAACTTCAGAAGTTCAAGTCTGATATCCAGGCCCCTCACTTTTGGTTTAGTTTCTAGTGTTTCCCAACTTCCTGATATATTAAATGGAAAATTAGAAAAATCAAAATGACAAATCCAAAACTTATTACATATTTGGGATTAAAAATTCCCATGAATACACAATAATGCATGGCCAGAAGATGTCCCTAGATTGCTAGCTTGAACTGAGTTGTAACAGTCTGAGATCTATGCTTCTAATGCAATGAATAGCAGCTGTGTTTGTGCCAGAGAGAGAGAGAGAGAGAGAAAAAGTACTGATAGAAAGTTGGTTACTGTAGCTATGTTGATTACTGAAGCAGCCAGACCTAAATGCCTATATAAGGAGGGTACTACCTCCATGTATGAGTAACCTTTGTGAGTGATTGAAAAGCAATACTACTACTAGCTCCTTCAGCTCTTCTCTTTGCATAATTCTTGCTTCCCAAACTAGTTAGGTCCAACAACTAACAAAGATAATAAGCTGCCAACATGAGCACCCACTGTAACTATCTGAACATAGAGCATTCTTACCTGTACTGAATTTGTGGTAAGGGTGATCCTTTGAAGCCAGATGCTTTTGAAGCTGTGAGAGGAAAAAAAAAGAAAGAAACTGAGCCCACAATGTAGCATGGCTTTTGGATCAAAACTTTAAAGTGAGCTGGTAAGTTTGAAAACTGGAAGATATTTTGAGGATAAGCAAGACTTAGATAATACAAAGTATGGTCGATTCTTGTTCCAAAGTGAGTATGATTGCTACAAAAAATTACAGTGGTGTTCTCATAATATGGAAGCATAACTTGTAAGATTAATTTGATAAACTAGGATATTTAAGAGAACCAAAACTTTGATAATGCAAACTATGGTTGATTCTGTTTGTAACATAATTATGACTGCCTTAAAGATTTAAACTGTTATTTTATTTTAATATATAGAAGCACACCTTGCAAATAAGAAAATTGTGTACTCAAAATGCCTTTATGCACTAGTGACTGCTGTTTCTGATAGAGAGATGACACAGAATGCAAAATTATTAGCTGATGTATCTTTAACTGACAATGCTGAACTTCCAAGTACCTGATATATTCTCCGGCCATCAGACAACAAATTTTTCTTGTGTTCTGTAAGGTCAATAAAATAGACAAATTAGACAGGACGTGTATTAGGATATGTATAATCCTGCACTAATCATAGATTGAGTGTAATCCCATAGATAGACTAGCTGCCATATATAGTCTAGGATTCTTTCTATGTATAGCCTAGGATTGCTTCCTTGTACAGGGAATAGCTTTCCATATGTGTAATTTCCTTGTATGCATATTAGCTATATATGAAAGGCACCCCACCCACATTGAGTGTGTGGTGATTCCCTCCTTTCCTGTCTATTCTACATGGTATCAGCTTAACCGATCCTCCTTCCCCTTCCCATCGCCCCTCCTCTGCTGTCCCCAACTCCTTCCCCATGACGACTGGATCTGCCACCAGCTCCTCCTCCTCCTCCAGCACCACGACCAGCCTGGGCTCCCTCTCTGCCCCTGCTGTTTTCGTTGCCCCCTATGCAACGATCAATGTCAAGAACCACATCCCGGTGACCCTGGAACTGACGAGGCCCAACTTCAACCAGTGGGAACCGTTCTTCACTTCTCTCTGCGGGAAATTCGGCCTTCTTTCCCACATCACGGAGGAAGCTGGCTCTCCCGACCCTGCCTGGAACATCGCCGACGCCTGCGTCCGCAGTTGGCTCCTTGGCTCTGTTGGGCCGGATGTCCTCGGCCTGGCGACGGCGCCAGATCAGACCGCGCGTGCCCTCTGGCTCGCCATCAGGCGCCTCTTCGAGGCCAACAAGGCCCCGCGCGCCATCTTCCTGGGTCACGAGTTCTACTCCATGACCCAAGGCGACTCCCCTGTCAACGACTACGCCCAAAAGATGAAGGCCACCGCCGACGCACTTCGTGATGTCGGTCGTGTCATCACCGACTCGGAGCTCGTCCTCAACTTCCTGCGCGGCCTCAACCCCCGCTTCGCCAGCACCGCCGACAACATCGCCGACTCGCACCCGTTGCCGGACTTCGCCACCACGCGCGAGAAGCTCGTCCTCAAGGAGCTCCGCCTCGCCAACGAGGGCACCGTGGCAGCCCAGACGGCGTTCCGCGCCAGTCGCGGCACTCCTGCCAAGCCTTTGTCTCCAGCGCCTCGGCGGCAGCTTCACCGGCTATGGTGGCGGCTCCAGCGGCGGCGGCAAAGCCAAGCGGAAGGCGGCGGCCATGGCCGCTGGAAGAAGAAGGGCAAGGGCGGCGCCCCAAAGTCTGCTGCATCGGCGGCTCCGTGGCTCTACTACATACCGGCTCACAGGCTGCGCGCGCCAGCGACCATGGCGTCCACCGATGTAGGCGGCTCTGGCGTGCTCGGGCTCCTCCCGGCCCGAGCTCACACGGCCTTTGCCCCGCTCAGCTTCTCGGCGCCACGAACTCCTCTCTGCCTCCTCACCAGCAGCAGTAGTGGTGGGATCGAGCAGAGCCTCATCGCTGCCCTGAACCAGATGTCGCTTCAGGGCTCCACCCCCTGGGTCTTCGACACCGGTGCCACTGCCCACATGTCCTCCTCAGATGGTATACTCCTGTCCCGCCTCCCTCCTCCTCCTTCTGGCATCACGGTTGGCGATGGCACTACCATTCCCATCACCTGTCATGGACCATCTCGATTACACTCCCCGCACTCTACCTTTCATCTTCATGATGTTCTGGTTGCCCCTGCTCTAGTACGCAACCTCCTTTCAGTTCGTCAATTCACCCGTGACAATGCTTGTTCCGTTGAATTTGACTCTTGTGGCTTTTCTGTCAAGGACCAGCAGACCGGGCGCGTGACTCTTCGCTGCAATAGTGGTGGCGACCTCTATACCTTCCCCACCACTCCGTCCACTTCCTGCAGCCTCGCCACCACGTCGTCCCTGTGGCATCACCGCCTCGGCCACCCTGGCCCATCCAGCCTCGCCACTCTACGGAACATGTCGGCCATCTCCTACAATAAGCATTCGCCTTGCCTCTGCCATGCATGTCAACTTGGCAAGCACGTGCGACTCCCATTTAGCCATTCCACCTCTGTAATGAGTGCCCCATTTGATTTACTACATTGTGATGTGTGGACATCTCCCGTGCCTAGCAACTCCGGGTTTAAATATTATCTCGTCATCCTCGATGATTTCTCCCATTCTTCTTTGGACATTCCCCATCGCCCACAAATCGAGGTGCACCGGCATCTTGTCGAATTCTTTGTCTACGCTACAACACAATTCGGCACCACACCCAAATCCTCCAAGCGATAATAATGGCACCGAGTTCGTTAACCACGCCACCGCCACACTCCTCTCGGCAAAGAAAGGGCACTACCCTCGCCTCTCCCGTCCCTATCGTCGCCCTAAAATGGCAAGGCCGAACGCCTCCGCACTATCAACAACACCATCCGCACCATGCTCCTCCATGCCTTCATGCCTCCTCCTTACTGGGCTGAGGCTCTCACCACAGCCACCACCCTCCTCAATCGGCGTCCCTCCTCCTCCATCCACCACCAAATACCTCATCAAATTCTCTATGGCACTCTCCCAGATTACTCCTCCCTCCGTGTCTTCGGGTGCCTTTGCTATCCAAACCTCACCGCCACCTCCCCCCACAAACTCGCTCCTCGCTCCGCCCCGTGTGTTTTCCTCGGATACCCATCCTCTCACAAGGGCTACCGCTGTCTCGACATGAATACTCGCCGGATAATCATCTCTCGCCATGTCATATTCGACGAGTCGGTGTTCCCATTCGCAGCAGCACCATCGGCGGCCTCCGTGCCGCCCTCACTTGAATTTCTGATGCAGGGACTTTCTTCCTCGACGACAACAGTGAGCACTCCTCCGCCGCTCCCTGAAACCAGCGAGGATCCAGCCCCTGCGCTCCTGGACCCAGCTGTTATCCAGCTGGGCCCCCTGGTTGCCTCTACGGGCGGGCACCCACCGCCTGCTCCGCCTGCGGGCGGGCAACAGCCGCCAGCCGCTCCACAGCCGGGGCGCCAGCGTTTCGGCATCGTCTTCACTCGCCGCAGCCGAGTTCCTGCAGCGCCGAACGTGGCTCCTGCGGTTGATGCACCAGCCACTGAGGTCGTGGCCCCTGAGGCTGACCCCGTGGCTCCCCTGGCGCCGGTTCCTGTGGCTGCTGCACCGCCCACCGCGATCGTCGCCCCTGCGGATGTCTTCGCTGTTCCAGCACCATCTGCTCCGCCACCTGCAGCGACCCAGCAGCCTGCTGCACCACCGACCCGGCCTGTGACACGGTCACAGACCGGCTCCCTGCGCACCGTCCAGCGATACGGCTTCACCACCTCCGTCGCCTCGCCGGTCCCGGCGAACTATCGCAGCGCCCTCGCCGACCCCAATTGGCGCGCTGCGATGGCCGATGAGTACAAGGCGCTGATCGACAATGGCACTTGGCGCCTTGTCCCTCGGCCCCCTGGTGCTAACATTGTTACTGGGAAGTGGCTGTTCAAGCACAAATTCCACTCCGACGGTTCCCTCGCCCGGCACAAGGCGCGCTGGGTCGTCCGCGGTTTCTCCCAGGAGGCCGGCGTCGACTACGACGAGACCTTCAGCCCGGTCGTCAAGCCGGCCACGATCCGCACCGTGCTCAGCATTGCTGCGTCCCGGGACTGGCCTATCCGCCAACTCGACGTGAAGAATGCCTTCCTCCACGGCAACCTCGAGGAGACGGTCTACTGCGAGCAGCCCAAAGGCTTCGTCGACCCTGCTGCTCCTAATTCCGTTTGTTTGCTGCAGAAGTCCTTGTATGGACTTAAACAGGCGCCGCGAGCTTGGAACCAGCGCTTCTCCGCCTTCATCAGCAGCATCGGCTTCACCACATCCAAGTCGGATGCCTCCCTGTTCATCTACAAGGCTGGAGATGACATGGCTTATCTTCTCCTCTACGTTGATGACATCATTGTCACCGCGTCGTCACCGGCTCTACTCCTGCACGTCGCCTCCCGACTCTCTCTGGAGTTCGCCATGACGGACCTTGGTGACCTCCAGCACTTCCTCGGCATCTCGGTGACGCGGGACAGCAGTGGCTTGTTCCTATCCCAACGGCAAAGATGCTGCGTCGAGATTCTTCAGCGGTCTTGGCATGTCTGAATGCCACCCGCGCAGCTACCGGTGGATGCCCGACCAAGCTGTCCTCCACCGAGGCGCTCCGTCGCCAACCCCTCGAGTCTGGGAGCTCCGGGCGGGAGCTCTCCGATTACCTCACTCGACGAGGCCGGACTGGCCTGTCTTGCTGCAGCAGTCTCCTCTTCATGCATGACCCTCGTGAGCCGCATCTTGCGATCAAAGCGCATCTTGCGCTATGTCAAGGGCTCGCTATCTCTGCAGGCCTTCACTTGAGCTCCGGCCACAGAGATCAGCTCACGACCTACTACGATGCCGACCGGGCTGGCTGCCCGGATACGTCGCTCTACCTCGAGCCTGCGTCTACCTCGGCGACAACTTTGGTCTCATGGTCTTCCAAGCGCCCAGACGACCGTGGTCGCGCTCCAATCTGGCCGAGTACCGTCGTCACGGTGGCCCATGCGGTTCTTGAAGTCTTTGCGCTTCGTCGGCTCCTCCAGAGCTCCACATCTCCATTCCGCTAGCGACGGTTGTCTCATCGTGACAATGTGAGCGCCGTCTACATGGCTGCCAACCCATCCCACCACCGCCGCATCGAAGCATATCGAGATTGACATCCACTTCGTCCATGAGAAGGTCGCTCTGGGACAGCTTCGGGGTTCTCCATGTTCCTTCGCACACCGGTTCTTTGACATTATGACCAAGGGTCCGCCTGTCCGACTCTTCAACGACTTTCGGACCGATCTGTGCGTCCGTGATGCTTCCTTCTGATCATCATGCAAGCGGTATTAGGATATGTATAATCCTGCACTAATCATAGATTGAGTGTAATCCCATAGATAGACTAGCTGCCATATATAGTCTAGGATTCTTTCTATGTATAGCCTAGGATTGCTTCCTTGTACAGGGAATAGCTTTCCATATGTGTAATTTCCTTGTATGCATATTAGCTATATATGAAAGGCACCCCACCCACATTGAGTGTGTGGTGATTCCCTCCTTTCCTGTCTATTCTACAACGTGGAACTCTTTACTACAAATAAAACATTTGCAAATGATATAGTTATTATGGTTGTTAGCTCAGACTAGTATAAAAATAATCAACCATCAAAGCTAGTTGCTTTGAGACATAACTAATTTGATGTCGCAGATGTTGGTGTATTCTTCAATTAACTTGCTCAAAGTTAAGAGAAGTTTGATTTAGGGCAAAACTAAAACGACTTACATTTTGGAACCAGGGATTACTATTTATTTTATTTGGAATACAAATAGAAGGATATGCCTTGTCAAATGCAAATAGAGTCACCATGCACAAAACAACTGCTCACCAGAATCAACAGCTTTGATCTCTCTAAGAACAGCATCCTGTGACATCAGTGGCTTAATGAAGAACTGAGCAAATCTGTGCATCAGGAATGACCACATTTTTACTCAATGAATAACCATGCGATGTCTGCGAACATAACTTTCGAAGCTTATCCAACATACATAGATAACTGAGAGCAAAATACTGCTCAAGAAACTTGCCTATCTAAGGCTTCTTCAAAATTGTCCACATTGACATCGAAAAAGAAATTCGTTGTCTCTGAGCTTGTATATGCATTGTAAGAGCCACCATGCTGATATTTTTACACCATCCGAAATAGTCAAAGTTGTAACCAATGTACACCTTTGAAAGTGGCGGGAATATTATTGAAAAAATATAAGGTGCCCAATCAACTTCTAAACAAATCATAATAACGTAATTCCAGCGAGAAAGCTGTCCGAGGTGTAGAGAGCTTAGCAACTCATTGACTTATGAAAGGAAATTTTTATTGCCTTTTTTCAGCATTTGCCATGCCATGTAAGGGTAACAAGACACCACCAAAATATCCATACAGAGACAAGCTGCAGAGCTAAGTGTGTTTTGTTCGAGATCACGACAGGCTACAGATTTGCATTACTCATGTATGGTAAGACTGGTAGGTTGAACCATTTGAGCTGTGCTCTAACCACCATGCCTGTATGGCCTTTTGGTACAACCTTACAAACAGTGTTCCCCGAACAATGCACGAGTCATAAAACGCCACCTGTCTAATCAAAGCATTTCCCCTCGTCTTTTCCCCTCTTCCCTAAAAAAAAAACATTTCCCCTCGTCTTTTCACTAACTCAGGTCTCACATTATGACAGGCTCATCTTCTAAAATCATATAGAGCACACTGCAACTGAGTCGAACTCATTCAAATCTATATGGTCGTGTGATTTGTGTTAATTGTTGAACTCAAAGGGTGAATTTTTTTGGCAAAATGAAATGAGAATGAATCCCCCCCCCAACACCCACACACACACACTTGGATTGGAATTGATGAATAGAATGTACCTCTGTGATATATTTCGTGTACTCATGTTCTCCAGGATACTTCTCGCTGGCATAAAATAGCATGTGCTCTGTAAGCAAGACCATGGTAACAACTCAATACCAAGACAAGGAAGAAAACAAAGAAACAGATAGTGTATTGTCAAGATTACAACAGATGGTAAGAAATCATTGTTAGATTGATCTCCTGACCAATAAGCCCAACGGCCTATTGGGCCTTGGTCTCGCGCCCTGATCGGGGGCGCCCAACCCTACATGGTTGGTGGGCCCCCGTCGCACTGCGCTATATAAAGAGGTGGGGGCCGGCGGCTCAAGGTACGAGGTTCACCGTGAGCCGCAAACCCACCGACAAAACCCTAGACCGATCTCGAGAGGGCGCGCAGCCAGCGACGGGAAGCTCCACTGATCCTCGCCGTCGCCACTGCTACGCCCGACCGCACTGCATCGACGTCCGTGCAACCTCTACTCCACCCGTCATTTGCCTGTGTCTTTGCCTCCATCACCGAACCCGCGATGGCTGGCACAACCGCGACATCATCTGGAGGCTCAGGTTCATCACCAGTCCTCTCTCCCCTATCTCCCTCTCGGTGTAGTGTTCTAGGTCTAAATGTGCATGTGTTTCATGGTTCTATGAGTTCATCCGTCTAGATCTACTCTAGTCGATCCAAAGGATGTCAACAATGGTATCGGAGCCTACTAGCACGTAGATCTAGAACGGGTACCGATTAGAAAAGAAAAAAGACGAAGAGATCCAGTGCGGATCTAAGCAGAAAAGGGTCACCCGACGTTCGGTTGAACCCTAACTCGATCCGTCGGATCTGAGAAAAGAAGAAGGGCTCGGTTTTCATGCAAAGAACGAACCCTAAAACCCGAAGGTGATTCGGGAAAAAGAAAACAGCGTCGTGACTAACCCTAACCCTAACCCTAACCCTAATCGGGAAAATAGTGCAAAAATACGAATCAAAGAAACCGAAAGGGGAAGAGGGTAGCACACCTCGCGTTTGCGCGGTACTGCAGTCACGACGGGATCCGGCGCCCGCTCGGTGACTGACTGAGAAAGGAGAAGAACCGATTTCAAATCGGAAAAGCAAAACAAAACCCTAAAAGGAAGCCTACCTGGGCTCTTACCCACCGCCGGCGGCATCGCCACCGCGCGGATAGGAGACCGCGGCGTCGCTCCCGAACGGCGCGCGGGACAGGGCCGAGATCCGCGCTGCTCCCCGCCAAGCGGTCACGGCAACAGGGCACCACCATGCGGCCCCTCGACGGCGGCGTGCTCAGCCTCGGGCGAGCACGCACGCCGGCGAGAGGGCGCTGGACGGTGCCGCCTTTCTTCTCCCTCGGCCACTGAGGACGGCTGCTGCTGTGGGTTTCTCCGAGCTGCGCTGCGGGGTGAGAGAGAAGGAGAGGAAGAGAATGAACCTAGGGTTCAGGGAGAAGCGCCGGCCGGGGGGTTTTGTTCGGGCGAAACGGCCGGACAGCCGTCCGATCCGATCCAGCGATTAGGATTTGCCGGACCGGCTTTAGGCCCAAAGGGAATGGATCTGTGGCGAATTCCTAGCCAGAGCCAGTTGTTGCGGCTTTGGCGCGGAGCGCTGGCTGCTGCAAGGGCAAGCAGCAAGCCACTGGCCGGCAGTGTCTTTGGTATGCCATGTAGAAAAAAACCATGGGCGAATTTTGTGGGCACAGCGTGTCTTTGTCAATGGGCCGAAATGGCCAAGTAAACAGTAAAGTAACAGTTTTTGTTTTTTTCTTATTTTCCAGAAAACAGTTTGATCGATTTGAATTGATTTTTATGATAATTTTCTGTACAAAATTTATCCAACGATATTTTTTGTTCAGTGAACAGTAAATTTGCTTCTGGAAAATAGGAAAAAGATTATTAAATGCTAAAGTTTCATTGCGTATTTAAAGTTGTAATTTTCGTTATTAAATTCAGAACCAACGGGAGAATTTAATTTTGAAAATGGATATGTTTTAAATTGATTATAATGTTGTTGTTATTCGACCAGCGTTGACTAATGACAATATTATAATGTTTTTTGTTATACATTAATTCTATTTCTACCCAGCGGTGATGTAGAATTAGTGTAGAAAATAATTGTATGTTTTAATTTTGACCAACGTTAAACTAAGGCATGCAATTATTGTTGTTATTTCTGTTCTCACCCTATTCAATTATGTTTTTCGGGAGGATACAACTTGATGAGTTGTATCAAAGAAATCCCCACTCTAAAAGGTGATAACTATATTGAGTGGAAGAAAAGATAGACTGCCTTTATCCTCGCCGAGGTTGACTGGGTTGTCACCACACCGTGCCCTAAAGAACCTGAGGCACCGGTGAGGGAAACAGATGAGACTGATACTGCATGGCAGAACAGAGAGCGGGATTTTGCTCCCGTAAAAATGTCCTATGACCTTGAGCATAGGAAATGGGTCATCGCCAACAAGAAGTGTCCGCGTTGATAAAGAACACGATTGAGCACACTATAGTGGGCTCAATTCCAGATCATGACACTGCAGTCACAGTAGTACCTAGAAAGAATAAAGAGTCAGTTCACTGGCTCTTCAAAGACATATGCAACCCAGCTGATCAAGCAGCTGGTCACAGAAAGGTACTCTGGTGGCGGCAGTGGCATTAGAGAGCACATACTGAGAATGAGCAATCTGGCATCTAAGCTCAAACCAATGGATTTGGCACTCAAGGATGAGTTTCTTATTCATTTGATTTTTGCTTCTTTGCCCAAAGAATTTGACACATTTGTTGTTAATTACAACATACAGCCTGAAAAATGGGATTTGGAAAAGCTCATAGCCATGTGTGTGCAGGAGGAGGAAAGAATAAAAGTTTCACAAGGTGGTTCTGTCAACTACCTAAAAGATAAGAAAAAGAACTATAATAATAGTTCTTCCTCCAAATCATCTGGAAAAGGTCCCATGCAACAGTCTCAGAACCAGCAATTCCCAGTGGCTAAAGACCAGTGTCTCCACTGCAAGAAGACAGGGCATTATAAAAAGAATTGTCCTGATTTCTTAAAGATGATTATGAAGAATAAAGGTGAGAACATTATTACGTTCGTAAATGAATCCTTGTATGTAAAGTTTTCAAAATCTACTTGGTGGATTGATTCAGGTGCAACTATTCATGTTGCTAATTCATTACAGGGATTCCGTTCGATGAGAACTTTGCAAAGAAGCGAAAGTTTCATTAAAGTAGCAAATGGAGAACAAGCAGATGTTGAGGCCGTTGGTGATCTTCCGTTAGAGCTTGCTGATGGCTTCATAATTATTCTTAGAGATGTTCTTTATGTACCTTCTTTGCAAAGAAATTTGATTAGTGTTTCAAAGTTGGACCATGATGGTTATGATTGCCATTTTGGAAATGGCAAATGTCAGATATTGTTTAATAATAAATGTATTGGTCTTGCCTTCCGACAAGACGAGCTTTATTTGTTATCACTTCGTGAAAATGTTAATTCCGTATGTGATGTGAATGAAAATGTATCCTCATCGAACAATGGAAACAGAAAACGAAAGAGAGCTCAAGATGCGTTGTCGAAATTATGGCACTGTCGTTTAGGCCATATTTCGAGGGGGAGAATAGAAAGACTAGTTAAGAATGATATTCTTCCTCCATTAGAGCTCTCAGAGTTAGAACAATGTAGAGATTGCATAAAAGGAAAGTATGTAAAGAAAATTAAGAAAGATGCCAAACGGCCTTGCAGAAATTCTCAGATTATTCACACGTACATATGTGGTCCTTTTCCTGTGAAAAGTGTGGATGGTTATGATTCATTCATAACATTCACGAAGACGATTACTCTCGGTTTGGCTACATTTATCCAATTAAAGAAATAATGAGCGTTGAATAAATTTAAAATATTTAAAGCGAAGTTGAAAATCAGCATGATTTAAAGATTAAGATAGTCGTCTCGACCGGTGGAGGAGAGTACTACGGTCGGCATACCCCATATGGACAAGTTCTGGACCTTTTGCAAGGTTCTTACAGAGAATGGTATAGTCGCCCGATATTCAACGGCAAAGGCGAACCTCGTGAGAATGGAGTAGGCTGAAAGGCGTGAACTGCACCTTGATGGATATGGTGCGTAGTATGATAAGTTACTCCACTTTACCCACGAAGTCTGTGGATGGAGGCGTTAAAACCGCCATTCATATTCTCAATAGAGTACCAAGTAAGTCGGTGCCCAAAACACCGTATGAGTTGTGGACGGGAAGAGTACCATCACTTAACCACTTGCGTGTGTGGGGGAGCCTCACTGAGGCTAAAGTTTTAACCCAAACATTGGGAAGCTAGATCCCAAAATGGTGAGTTGCCATTTCATTGGCTACCCGGAAAAGTCAAAAGGTTTTCGTTTCTCTTGTCCTAATGAGACATACAAAGTTTGTGGAAACGAGACATGCATTGTCTTCCTAGAGGATGAAATGATTAGGGGAGCATGGTAGCTCGAGAAATTGACCTTGAAGAGAAGCGGGTGTATGCACCCACTCCGATCATTCATGAGCCATTTTCTCTCACTACTCATTCTTTGCCGCACTAACAAGACAAGACAACATGTGGTGCCAAAGACTGTTGTTATCCCTTTGTGGCAACAATGAATGATGATGAGGAACACGTGGCTCGAGGATCCTATAGAACCTATTGCCACACATGAGGGGGAGCAACAACAGCCTCAAGCAGGAAAATGTGCCAATTGAGGAGGCCCCTAGAAGGTCTCAAAGAGTTAGAAAATCAGCTATTTCTGCTGATTATGAAGTGTACAACACTGAAGAATTTCAAATGGGGGATGATCCCACCTCATTTGAAGAAGCCATGAAAAGTGATCATTCATCAAAGTGGCTTGAGGCCATGGAAGATGAGATGAGATCAATGAATGCAAATAAAGTTTGGGATTTGGAGATAATTCCTAAAGGAGCCAAAACAAAGAGGGTCGTAAATGGGTCTACAAAACAAAACTTGACTCTCAAGGGAATATAGAAAGATATAAAGCCCGACTTGTGGCAAAAGGCTTTACACAAAGAGAAGGGATTGATTACAATGAGACTTTTTCTCCAGTCTCGTGTAAGGATTCCTTCAGAATCATAATGGCATTAGTGGCACATTACGATTTGGAATTACATCAGATGGATGTAAAGACATTTCTCAACGGAGACTTAGAAGAAAATGTTTATATGGCACAACCAAAAGGTTTTGTCATAGAAGGAAAAGAACGTTTGGGATGCAGCCTAAAGAAATCCATTTATGGATTAAAACAAGCTTCAAGACAATTGGTACTTGAAGTTTGATCGGAACAATAAAGAATTTTGGGTTTAAAGATAATGTTGAGGACAATTGTGTCTCACGCAAAGTTTAAGAATGGGAAGTTTATCTTCCTTGTCCTGTATGTGGATGATATCTTACTTGCTAGTAGTGATGTCACCCTACTCACTGAAACAAAAAAGTTTTTTTGTCCTCAAAGTTTGATATGAAAGATCTTGGTGAAGCTTCGTTCGTTCTAGGGATCGAGATTCACCGAGATAAAAGTAAAGGGTATTAGGACTGTCACAAAAGGCATACATAGAAAAAGTCTTAAAGAAATTCAAGTATGCACAAATGTAGTCCCTCACCGCTCCTATAGTCAAGGGCTGACGAGATATGGGGATTTTCAATGCCCCAGAACCAATATGAGATCGATCAAATGAAAGTGGTTCCATATGCTTCAAATTGTCGGAAGCTTGCAATATGCTCAAGTGTGTACGCATACGACTTGGCATTTGTTACCGGGTTACTTAAGCGATTCGAGCAATCTCGAATAGAACACTTTGAAATTGGTAAAGAAAGTCTTGCGTTATTTGCAAGGAACGAAAGGCCTCATGATGACATATAGAAGATCCGATTCACTTCATATAGTGGGATATTCAGATTCGATTATGCGGAGATAATAGAAAATCCACGTCCGGATATGTGTTCACTCTCAGCGGGGAGCTATTTCATGGAAAAGCTCAAAGCAAACCGTCACTACATCGTCCACAATGTATGCCGAGTTTGTAGCGTGTTCGAGGAACAGCAGGCGGTGAACTGCTAAAGAAGTTCATACCCGGTTTGAAGGTGGTTGACGACATCAATAGACCATCGAGGTTATCTTGCAATAATAATCCAAAGAAGACAAATGCTCACAACAATAGGTCAAGTGGTGCTTTGCGCAAACACATTGACATAAAGTATTATGTTGTGAAGGATAAAGTCCGGGATCAAATGATAAGTCTTGAGCATATAAGTACCGAAAAAGATGCTCATGGATCCGCTTATAAAAGGCTTACCGCCAACGTGTTCGTAGAACATGTAGCCGGCATGGGTTTAAGGGAAAGCCTATGATTCTGGACTATAAAGGGCCCAAAAGTTAAAGTAACTATTTCGGATCGAGACGTGCATTGTAGTTTGTTAAATCTATCGGCGATTGACCGTGACGATGAGACATGCTCTATGCATCATCTGTGAAGAAATGAGTAAGGATAAAAGGATTGAAGTTTTAAAGTTTAAAGATAAAAGTAATAGTGAGATCAAGGGGAGAATGTTAGATTGATCTCCCGACCAATAAGCCCAACGGCCTATTGGGCCTTGGTCTCAGCATACGATCGGGCGCCCAACCCTACATGGTTGGTGGGCCCCGTCGCATGATCAAGGCTATATAAAGAGGTGGGGGCCGGCGGCTCAAGGTACGAGGTTCACCGTGAGCCGCAAAACCCACCGACAAAACCCTAGACCGATCTCGAGAGGCGCGCGACCCAACACGGAAGCTCCACCGATCCTCGCCGTCGCCATCGCCACGCTCGACCGCCTTTGCATCGACGTCCGTGCAACCTCTACTCCACCCGTCATTGCCCGTGTCTTGCCTCCATCACCGAACCCGCGATGGTCGGCACAACCGCGACATCATCCGGAGGCTCAGGTTTATCACCAGTCCTCTCTCCCCTATCTCCCTCTCGGTGTAGTGTTCTAGGTCTAAATGTGCATGTGTTTCATGGTTCTATGAGTTCATCCGTCTAGATCTACTCTAGTCGATCCAAAGGATATCAACAATCATGACTATAAAAAAGACGTACCCAATGCAGAGAGCTCCCGCTCTGTGCGGGGTCTGGGGAAGGGTGTCAGTGGCAAGCCTTACCCTCGCTTGTGCAATGCGAGGAGACCGCGACTCGAACCCGGGACCTTCTGGTCACAGGCGGTAAGACTCTACCGCTTGCACCAGGCCCGCCCTTCTAAGAAATCATGACTATGATTAGAAGAAAATGAATTTTGGTTCAATGACACTGGTATCCATCAAACATCTTTTTATACGATGTTGTCTCAAGATTACAGCAACACATTGTGCAAAAAACAGCGCCCCACGCCACTCTAGCGTAGACTGTCAGGTTGCCTTGCATGCATGGCAAATAATAGGTAGTTGGGCACAATCCTGCAAGTGTTCAGTGCTTGCGTAATTGGTAGTCCCACGTGTGTACCACAGTGCTACGTTACTTTGTGCAGTGACTAGTGAAACTCACCCGCCCGCTGCAGTCTGCACTCTGCACATAAAGATCTGCACGGACTGTTGTGACAGTCCCCCATCCATCATATAAAACAGGAGCGAGGAAGCTGCCAAGGATCCTACCAGGCAGCAAGGTCCAGGAGCAATTTGGATTTATTTGGAAAACACGGTCCTGTCCTGAGTAAACAATTCCTGAATCGCTCCATAGTATAGATGCGATTCAATAGTGTCACCGACCAGGCGACTTACGTTAACCCAACAATTTTAAAGACTTACTATAAACTGACATGACCCAACAATTTTTAAGACTTGTGAGAAAAGTGATGCATTGCCCCTGGGCCCTGGCCAAAAAAGCTTGGGACACAAGGGATGCCAAAAAAGCTTGGGACACAAGGGATGCACGTACAGGCCGTAGGATCATCATGGACGCTCTCAAAAACAAGCACAGCTCTCTTGCTCTGATTATATCATTATGCTGTACATCCAAACCGTCAATTGTTTGATCCGACGGACAGAACACGCCGAGCTACAGAAGGAACATCCATTAACCATGTTCTCTTATGCTAAAATTTAGCTTATGCTGATGCTTACGCTGAAATACCGTGAGAGGAAAATGTTCGCTGAAAAGTACGGCTGAAGTAGCACGCGGCTGAAGTAGCACGCGAGACTTAGACTGAAAGTACGCAACGTCATCATTTGACCGAGGAAAGCACCACGAACAAAGGCAACTCTAGTAGCCAAGCTGGCGTCTCCGTGATTCGCCAAGAGGCAATCCGAGACCGCAGCCGGATCACAAAAGGGAATCCACGCCAGGCCCGCACGCGAGCGATCGAGCGAATCGCAGGGCGAAAGTGCCGCGCTGGGGCCAGGTGCAGCTTGCAATCCCCACCCAATCATTGGCTAGAGCCCTAGACCAGATCCTCACTCCGCGAATCAACACGAATCCGACTGCTGATTCGATCAGCACGAGCAAAGCGTTGGCAACGAGCAAAGCGAGATGAGCGAGGGGGGATGGGGGTAGTACTGAGGAGAGGAGTGAAGTAGTGAACTCACCAAGGAAGTGCGCGAGGCCCTCAAGTCCCTCCGGGTCGCTGAACGAGCCCACCTCGACCTCCATGCACGCCGCCGCCTGAGCAGAGCGAGAAGCGGAGAGAGGTTAGCAACCAAATCAATCGCGCAAACTAGATGATCGGTAAGCCTTCGGCCCACGAGCATTCCTCGCTATCGCGGCGCCGCGGCCCGCGAGAGAGGAGCAGAGCAGGCGAACGGCGACGGCCGGAGACGGGGACGGACCTTGTCCGTGTCTGGGTCGCTGATTAGTAGGATCTCGAGCGCGTTGGCGAGCACCACGCGGCGGTACTCCCGCTTGTCGCTGCGCGCGCGGATGAACTCGACACTGCTGCTCCCCGCCGCCGCGGCCGCCACAGCCGCCGCCATCAGCCCACGCTCACAATCCCACGCCTCCGACCCTTCTCCTCCGCTTCGCTTCGGCTGGACGCGATCCTCTGACTCTGATGATCTCTCGCAATGGTGGATGCTGGATTGGATTGGGGACCAAGACAGGACCTGGGTTGGGAGACTTGATTAGTCTCTCTTGTCAATCAATTTATATAGTCAGGGACTCAGTCAGGGGCCAGCCGCCCCCACGGGCAGAGAGCAGGGGCCGTCCCGTCCGACCCGGGTGTCTTGCAGTTGGTTGCGGCACCAGCTGCAGAAGTGCTCTGCTATGACGTTCTCAAAAAAAAAAAAGGACGTGCCAAGTAACCGTTCGCTGCCGCCGCGAGCGTGTGCGCGTCAGGGCAAAAGGCCTTTCCACGCTCGCGAATGACGTGACACGCTGCCTACGACCGGAAGGCCTTTTTCCGGCGGCGGGGACTAGGGCCCGCCGCCTCCTGGGCGACGGACGGACGGAGGCTCGGGGTCGGGGACTCGCCGACTCGGCCTCGTGCCACCGGGGAACCACAGTGATTCCCACGAAAAATCTGTGCATCCACGCTCGGCTCCGTGCCAGCAGCAGCAGCAGCAGCGTTAGTGCGTTACCTTGTACAGCTGACGTGCCACGACCGGTGGCAGTGGGAACACGCTTCATCCTTCATTCTTGGCAGGTCGTGGCGTCGTGCATAGCGAATCTTCGAGGAAACTGCTGGTGTTTTGGAAGTGACCTGATGTGAATATGGAGTACACTGTTGTCCTTTTCTTTTTTTTTTTTCTGTGTTTAGTCCTAAAAAGTGTTATGGTAGCCATCACATCGAATCTTGCGATACGTGCATGGAGCATTAAATGTAGACGAAAAGAAAACTAATTGCACAGTTTGGTTGGAAATCGCGAGACGAACGTTTTAAGCCTAATTAGTCCATAATTGAACAATAATTGCCAAATAAAAATGAAAGTACTACAGTAGCCAAATTCCTAAATTTCGCGAACTAAACACAGCCTTTGATGCGTTTTCTTGAATACGCAGAAGAGTTGAGCATTTTTATATACTATATATTGAAAAGAAAACATGGTTCGTCTACACGATCAGCCCTTTTTCAGGGAATACTCCAGTAGATTACAAGAACAGGCCTGGTAAGGCTAAGATCTATTTATCCCCTAAATTGAAAAGGCAACCTAAGTGCGATTCTTATTCTTGCAATCCTCCCGCCCTCTTGCTTGATTGTCGACACTCGACAGAGACTGATTTGCTTGTGCTGCCGCGTTTCTGAAGATGCCCGAATTTTGTTCCTTCCGAGTTTCTCAAGTGATCAGCGCGAGCAAAGTAGTTGAAACCACCCTTTGGCTGCCAGCAGCTAACGCTGGAGCGCCGTGGACCAACTCCCTATAGTTTGAAAAATTTCTGGAAAACAAAAACAAAAACAAAAACAATGGACCAACTCCCTAGTATGAAAATTGTCTGGAAAACAAAAACAAACAATGGACCAACTCCCTAGTATGAAAATTGTATGGAAAACAAAACAAACAATGACGCTTAGGCACGGCGTCTGGAAAAACAAAAACTACAATGACGCTTAGGCACGGCATTAGGTAGCGATCGCTCTTTTGTATTGGTTGCTTTCAGCCTTTTCACACAAGACTACTCGACCAGAGACTTTTTATGCAAAAGTATACAATGACTCTGATCGGAGTAGTGCTAGAAACGCTTGGTAAACAGGGGATGTGGTGTCTTCTGTCTTCGCTCCTCCCCGCGTGAGAGCACTAAGCTTTATACTAACTTTGGAAATTTTTCGTTGATCTCTGCTACAACTTTCGGCGTCGTGCCGCACTACGACTGCCAGTAATATGTCATGCGCGTTCTGTTTGTATTCTACATTTCTACATCTATCACAGTTGTTTGGTTCCGTGGAAGTAAAGGTCTTCGCCTCCTTCTAACAAGTCCCGGCGGCAGTACGTACAACACAAAAAGTTGCGGTACAGTTTGCTTAGCTTGGTTTTTGCTGAGGTGTAATCGCACTCCACCTGACACGATCGCGAGATCCAGACTCCAGAGAGCTGCACTGCACGTGTGCTTCGATCCATGACAAATCACAAGGTGACAGCGAACGACGAGCCGAACGCCGAAATGCTAGATGACTCATATCTTCGCTTGTTCATATCATATACCTGCTGATTGGCTAGCATATGTACCTTGAAAACGTTGAGATTTGAAAACGTTGAGAATTTTAGATGAATGCCCGCTGATTGCACGTCAGAGTTTTTCGCTGGTCTGGACTCTGGTGGGATGACGAGCCTTTCTTGATTTCTTGGTGGCAGCTCTAATTCGGTGCAAATCGTATCTGTGGTACTCGTACTTTAAATAACACCCATTATCTATCATATCCATTACCGCCGGAGACTATGCACCACCTGCTCCGGAAGACTTTGGTACCGTGACCCCAAGGGCGGAGCTAGCAAATTCGATGAGGTGCGCTTGCTCCTGCTGCCGCCAATGGCAAAACAAATGAACACAGTAAACTTGACACAGTGATGTATCATTGTTGAATCCTCCCAGGTTTCTATTGCATTTCAAGTCCCCAAAATAAATAGGAACAGGTATGAGTGATACATCTCGGCAAAGCCAACCGTGGTCCATAAACAATCCCTACTGTTTATCCGTGTAGATGTCCGAAAAATAAACAGAATGACTCCTCCTCGAGGAACTGCCAGTACAGGCACAATGACAAAAGGTCGCAGCCATCACCTGACTAGTTAACCAAGCCCATGATTTTATTCACTGTACAGACGAATAACTACTAATACTAATTGTTGGAACTTGAAATCATCTGCAGGGGCTTAGCCAGGAGTTCAGGCTACAGAGGAGAATCTTTGCAGCTAGCAGCTGAATAAACACCACTAGCTGCGCCACTAGTTAGTTTTAGAATGGTCCAGGAGCGGGGAATCGGAAATAAGTTCCATCTCCATATCCTGCTGCTTTTTAAGATAATCCTGTGCTGTTGACGTGATTATCTTAATGAAGAAGTTCAGAAGCACAAGCCACACTATAGAGTTCCAGACAAATGTAAAGGAGAAATTCCACTGTTTCTCCTGTACATGGTACAATTATTGAACCAATAAGAAAATGAGATGAATAATTAAGGGCGGGTAAGACAGGTCATTCAAGCTCAAAGTCAAAGGGTCACAGATTTAAACTGAAGGTACTAACCTCCATTTGTGAGGACGGTGAGACTGGGTCTGGTGGTGATAGATACTTGTCCTTGGCAGCATGGAGTTTGGCAATCACAGATGGAAGGGTGGCAGAAAATCCAGGAATGTGACCAAATATCCAGATTAACTCCTTTTCAATAAGATACAAGAGCTGATTGTTGCACAGGGACACGATAAAGAGTGTCTGCGAGAGAAGGAAAAATGATGCATGTCAGACCACTATTGGTGTCAAAACCACCTGACAACAAAATGACTCAAAAATTCAGGAAGTCAGGTACCATAATAAGCTTAACCAGAGAGGTATCACAATTAATTTTAGTGAGCGCTTCAGGAATAAGAGTTCATTTTAATTGTCAGTGATTTTATATTCTCTAATTATGGATACTAAATAAACCTACAGAATCAAACCAAATCCAGCTCATCACATTGTGTTCCATTACTGAACTATCATTAGTTTTATTGCAAGTAGGAATTCAAGAATTAATTATGGGATAGAGAAATAAACAGGACACAACTCACTGAGCGCTCATCCTATACTAATAGATCAAAGCAACTCATAAGAATCCTGACATAGTTTGTGCTGAAATCATATCCAAGGGGCTAAGCTTTCAAGGCCTAACATGTGCACGTCCTAAATATCAAACAAGACTAGCATGCAGTCTAAATCTAATTATGTTGTTGGCTTTTTCTCAGATAGACAGTAAGATTTCAAAATATGAATCCAAGTCAATAAGAATGATGATATACAAGCATATAAAACTATACAACATGGAAGAACATTTCCATCTAATTAAGTTACTAAATGAATGTCTTCTCAAAGATTAAAAAGACCACTAACCATCATTGGAAATCTCTACAAAAGATTGAACACGCCCTAACAATAAAGTGTGTGGCAACAAGTAGAACAAAGGCACACACAAATCACAATAAACATAACTACTGGCTATTATTATTATAAGATAACACTATGAGATTAGATGCCTCACCTGAATATGAGTCTTGATTATGGCTTTCCCAATCAAAGTAGCAAAAAAGAACTCCCAGAAAGGCACACCAAATTGCCCACACATAATACCAGCAAGGTCAAAGAATGGATTCGGAACCTAATAAGAGCATCAAAATTAGGCAAATATTTTTAAAAAATAGAATAAAAATCCTTTAGAGGAACTTATGGTAACTGCTGTACAGGGAATGTTCCATGCTTATTTGTTGGTGTCATTTTATCTAGACAGCTTTTAACTGTGGAGCTAAAGCTTGCACATGGTCCAAAGGTGCAAAAAAGATATTCGCAAAAAAAGGTGCAAAACAGATTAATTGTGAAGGCAGAAGGTCAAATGGTTCATAAATTACGGGTGTAAAATATCCACGTTGAAGAACTTGCTAACAAAGGAAGGAAGACAGGAGACTAACCGAAGCAAGTATCAAGATAGAGAAGAAGTTGAGATGTTGAGAGTGAGAGAGAAGCCAACGCTTGGTTCGATTAAGAGTGGATGCTACTGGCCCATCTTCTTTGGAAGTAGCGGCATCAAGCTCCTTAACAGCTTTTGACTCGCTTCCTGATAAGCGAGCTGCAACATGACACAACATCCATTTAGGTTAGGCAGCTTAAACCGATTAAAAGAACAGAAACAGAATGCCACAACTAGCAATTCTTCCCAAGAACTCACGGGCAACATTCCTAGAAATAGTTTTTCCCTAAAATCCATCACTCTGATTGAAGCTCCACAGAACCTCAAATAATCAGCTATAGCATGTCAAGAAAAATGGGCACGGCCTTATTCGCATTGATCTATTAT